ATGGGGTGTGACGATCGCAGATTTCCCTCGCACAATTCATATTTCGGGTGCAGAAAAACAAGCGGGTGAAAAAAAATGGTACACATTTATACAAATCGAAGATCGTGAGTACCTCACCTCACTGTATTCACACACCTTGTGCTAACCCGATCTACGTTCTCTTTTGCTGCAGTTTACCGATCAGCAACGGTTCTTTGCCATGGTATTTCCTGCTCACTTGCACCTACACACACAAACACACACTCACACACGCTCACAAGGGCCTCCAAAAGCCTTGCACCGAAACCCGTTTTCGTTTTTGCGAGTTATTAAAAGCCATAAAAAAGGAGCCAATGCCAGATGGAGTGCCGTTTAACTGTTAAATGCTCTTGTGGTCAGGTTTGCCAGGTGTTTCAATCTTTTGGCCAGCTGTTGGCTGGCCTTTTTTTGGTTGGTTAAGGAGTGAAATATTGCAAATTAGAATTTTGGTGTTTTACATCTTTGCTTCTGCGCATTGCGAGGGACACGGACAGACAAACCCACTCACACACGCATATACATATATGTATGCCACCCCCTTTGTCGTTGCACACCTCAGTCGCGACGATGCACAAAAATGCCGCTACCCGATGATTGCCGGGTCGGCGGCGGCGTCGTCGGCTTTTGCTTGCTATTTATTTTTATCATATTTCTGCTTAAAATCCAACAATAAGGTTGGTGTTGCACCTCTTCCCCTCTTACATTCACCACTCTCCCTCTCCTTCTTCGTCTCCTTCCTATTCCTATTCCTATTCCTATTCCTCTTCCTGCTTATTGTTTTTGTTTGTATGTGTTTTTTGCGTATCACTTTATGTGTTCTGTTCTTTCGACTCCGGCGCAGCTTCGTTTTAGTTCTCTCTCTCTCTCGCTCTATTATACAGCAGCCGCAAGCCACCTTTTTATCCTCTTTTCTTTTTTATTAAATTTCTTTGCGCAAAAGGAGTGGCGTCCAGGATTTTTGCTGTTCCCACTATCGCACACCCACAAACACACACACAAACACACAGAAGCATATGCAAAAGATGAGAATGTCAGCGTCGGCGTCTCTCACTTTAAGTGCGTTTTCCTTTTGCCCCTTTTGCCACGCCAATTACATATTTTTGTACATCAGTTTTCCGGCACTTTTTGTTTTGCAATTTGTCGTTTTTGATTTACAGCTTACACTTTTATGGGGGGGGCGGGGACTACTAAGGGGAATATTTTCCATTACCTTGCTGCAATAGTTAACTATTTTTGCCTACACAAAAATCCTTTTTCATTTAAAAAACGCGCACCGGACACAACTTTTATCTACAAATTCGATGAAGGCGACACAGGCAGTTTCCGTTGTTTCATGATATATCGAACATTAAAATATATATTTTTGATATTTTCGGGAGATATATCAACAGACTTTTCGGAATTCAAAAAAAAATTCGGCACTATCCTGTTGTTTCATGGTCGCGGCGAAACACGCACACAAGCACGGAGCATACCATAAATTTGTTTTTGTTTTTATCGTGTTTTTACATTTGGTCAAAAACGAACGAACGGCCGGCTCAAAAAAAAAAGGTTAAAAGCTGCTCTCCACACTCTGATTAAGTTGTATTTACTTAATTCGACAACGACGCGCAGCAACCGCTCGGTTCAAAATAATTGGAAGCAGTGTGACCGCTGATTTGTCGATAAAATATACCCTCCGACTCTCAGAAATGCACCAAAATATACCGTCTCATTTTAAAAATATACCGTAAATATACTGACGAATTTAAGTTCTTTTATACATTTAGCTCGTTTTTGATATTCCGTCGAATATTACTAGCTAAATATGGACCGCAGCGCTGCCTACATAATTTTATACAATTAATGATTCAGTTTCCTACTTGACTGGTTTATTTTAAAGACTTGCTTTTATTGGATCTTGTCTAAAAAAGGTTTTAGCAAGGAAGGTCAAACAAATAAAACGCAAGAGAGAACTCGTTCCAATTGCTCAATTTTGATATTCCGTTAAATAATTCTGGCTAACTAAAACCTTAAGTTTTTCCCACGTAATTTTAGGCCATTGATGAATCAATTTTCTACTTAACTGGATAGTTTTTAGGGTAACACAATATTATTTTAATTTATTTAATTTAATAAATAAAATAAAATATAATAAAAATACCATATTTCGATCATTAAATAAGAAAATACTGTTTGTCCAAGCTGTTTTAAGCCGTAATTAATAAAGACAGAAGACAAAAAGCGCCAAAATATCGTTGAAATAGCTTTAAAACAGAGACTGGCTATCTTCTGCATATATTGGATAACAAACATTTTCTCAATTCTATAATATCTTTTTTTCCAGGGTATGAAGAATGTTTCTCAATCCGCTTAGTGTTGAGGAACAGTGCTCCTCGATTTCTCGGCACATGAATCTAGCCCATACAAAGGCTGCCAGCAACATAAGACGTAAGAGCAACTCCCACAAAAAATGGAGCAAGTCCCACCAAACTTGAGCGCTAAATAGAAATTGTTTTAAAGTGACCGATAAATATACCATCGGCTCAATTTTGACCTAAAAAATACCGAAAAGTATTAAAAATACCATAAGCGGTCACGCTGCTTTTCTCATCATATATGATATTGTCCTAACAAGCAATTTGAGGGGTAAGGTTCGTACGAACTTTGCAATTTTCATTGGCCATTTTTGTCTGTTGTCCATGCCCCTTTCTATAGCCCATTCAAAATTGCGACTCATTTTTTCGTCGCAGGAGAGAGCACTTACTGATAAGAAATATACCGAAATAGACGTAAAAAAAATGTAAATATTGTAACGAGCCTTCTTTTTGTACTGATTGTAAATTCTTCTTATAGATACATGCCATCTTGCCTCTAAAGTTAAGAAAAAACCACGGTATATTTTTATTGGATTGTTTATAAACTTCAAGTTAAACAAGGAAAGTCAAGAAAAATGTCATTTTTTACATGGGAACTACACGGTAACTACGCCACATAACTACGTAACTGCGCGCCAAACTGGATTTGTTTGAAAGTGAATCATTAAGAGGGATATGAATGCAATCCAATTGAATATATTCGATATATTTAATTTCTGATCGATATTTTTGCCAGTTTTTCTAGAGCTGCAGAGTTTAAAGTGGAAATGGCCGGAAAACGCGTGAACATAAATTTCAAATGGAGACTTTTCACAATCTTTAATTCACTTTAATTTCAGAGCTTGGTGCGAGCAGTCGAGTCGACTTGATTAATACTTATTTTTTCCACCGTTAAATCTTGAATTAATCATGAGTAGGGACCTAGAACTGCAACGTATTTTGGAAATATCAGACAATAATTCCAACAGTGATTACAAGTACAAGAACCTCCTCAATGCCGAAGACAGCCAAATACATGTGAAGGATATCCTGAAGATTTTAAGATGCTTTTGATGGTAAGTTGATTGTACCTTCTGAATTCCTTATGAAAGGGTTAATCCTGTCCTGCTTGTCTTTTCAGAAAACTGCTTGGATTTCCAAGAAATTTCCATTCCCAATCACCCCGAACAGAGACGAGAATGGAATCCAAAAAAACTTCATTTCATCTTAAATAAGTTTTGTAATAAGATCCATGTATGCATTTTAAATTTTGTACTGTAATGCTTCGAAAAGACAACAACAAATTGTCATATTTTCAAATAAATTTATATTTATAATCTATAATTCCGTATGTTTTTGTTGGGATTTCAATCATGGGACTTTTCTGGGCTCTGATGCCGATGTCATCAAAATCGGTCGAACTGTTCTCTTGTTTAACTCGCTCCCCTTCGCCAGAGCTCACTGCACGAGGAAGAGTGCGTGAGAGATAGAGAGAGAAGGAGTAGCCTTTGTTCCTTCTGGATATCATAATAATCCGATCTGATCCGGCTTCGGCGTTCTGGTAGATATGGTAATTTTCTATTCCAATCGTGGAGTCACAAATTTTCGTTCTTTGTGGGGTCGGAAGGGGGCAACATTTTGACATTACAGGAGTCTACACCAAATGTTGTTGCTTTAGCTCATTAAGTCTCTGAGACATAGTTATATCCACATAGCTATTGATGCTGATCAATAATAAATAATCTATGGGGTAGGAAATGCTTGCTTCTGGGTGGTACACACATCCACTTTCACAACAAATATAATATACCCATATAATCTTCAAAGCCCGGGAATGAAAAACGTTAAAGCGAGATACACAAACCGGTATACATCAAAGACAAATACAAGGACTTTAGCATTTCGTTTGCCAACATTCATTTGCTAATCATTTTTTGTGTACTTTATTTCATAAAATTCAAACTTTCAAATATTTATTTACACACGGGCTTATTGTAATTATACTAAATACTTGTGTTCTTATTATTCGTCCACTGCTTTTGTTGAAGAACGATTTTGTGATTGGGAGGTTGTTGGTTGGTGGTGTCCACGCTACGGGGCTTACTTTCTTTTTTGGGGTGAGTGCGTGTTCCTTGCACACTCGTATATTAACTAATTTTAAACGCTATTAAACATTTTTGAATGTTGCTCGATGTGTTTTTGGGGGTATTCTTGTGCTTTGTTCGCTCGCTTTCATTGATTTGAAATTTTGTTTGGGCCCATTTGAAACCTGAATTTGTTGTCTGGTTTGCCTACCTGTGGCCGAGTAAATCATACAACACAAATTCGATTATGTCTGTTGTATTTCTTCACGCACAGATAGATAGAATATACGATACAATATTCGGAAATCAAGTAAATTAAGGCACTTAATCGAACAAAGAAATCAATTCGAAAAGGGCATACGAATTCGGTTAGATTGTTAGTAAATGGATAGAATAGAGATACGATACATACTCGTACCTGGTAATACATTTTGCCAAGTACAAATTAGTGCGGTGGATCAAGTGTATGTGTGTGTGTCTGTAGTGTTTTGTTTTTTAGTATCTGTGTGTACTGAATTGCTTTAACATTACAATAACTATCTGGCTGGAGCCTAGAGTAGTAGCTAAACATGAATTTGTATTGTACATAAACGTAGATCCTAAAATATTAATGGTGTTTTTGATTAAAGATCGATTTTCAATGGCACATCTTTTTTTTACTAACATTAATTGTATTCTCAATCTTTTTTTTTTTGCATGTTGTTGGGCCAAGAACCGCTTTAAGAATTTTGTGCCCAAGATAAATGTTGAATCTTGAAACGGTCCACTGTATATATTGTAGATTTGTTGTAAAGTTGAATAACTGCTCGAAAGAACTTTGACCGACTGAATTATCAGTTTGCTTATGTCTACATATTACATATTACATATTACATATACGAAATGCATTTGTATGTACAGTGGGACAAGATTTTAGTTTCGATTTAAAACTGTTTCGATTTAAAATAGATTGAACTACTTATGCACCTAATTGATTATTAATTTACACATAGACGGTTTGCTAACAATATTTTGGCTTCTTGGTTTCTGGTTTCTGGTTATTCTTGAATTTTGACTGCAATCAATATGCCGATATTCTACCCCCCACCCCCTACCCAACAACAAAAACTCTTCTGGGTGGGGGCCCGGCTAATCATTGTCGCATTTTGACCGAAAAAGGCACACACAGAGAATTTCGAATGACAACGATTTTGCACGACTACAACAACACTAACTCTAATCTAAACTCCTCTCCCTTATATCGATCTACAAGCATACATACATATGTATGTGTATGTATGTTATATGCATGTGTTTATGTGTATGTGTATGTGTATGTTTATGTGTATTTAGTAGCCATTGCAGCGTATCTCCCCATATCGGTGCCGTGGCCTGCCCGCTCCGTAGGCCGCATATCGCTCATACGCCATGTAGTCCGGCATTTCATAGCCAAAGCCGCCGTGTCCGCGCATTCCCCGGTTCCGTGTATGGGCCATGTGCATGTGCCCCTGGTAGCCAGCGTGCTGCTGCTCCTCGTAGGGATGATAGCTTTGAGGAGGCGTGGAGAGGGCCTCGTAGTAGCCCCCCGTGGTGTAGGGGGAGAAAGTGCTGTTGCTTGCGGCATATTCCTCGGCCAGGCGCTCGACCAGCGACTCCGGGGTCTGCAGGAACCTCTCGGAGAAGCGACCAATTTCGGTGGAGCCAAAGGCCTGCAGGAAACCAGGCAACGGCTTGATGTCCTTCAGGGATATGAAAATTAAAGTTGCAAATTTTTCTAGTTAACACCACCGTTACTCTGCTCACCCTTATCTGCTCTCTGACTGTGGACTCCACCGACTCCGCCTGTTCCTCTCCTCCGGCTTCCCTTTTGCCAGTCCTTCGTTTTGATTTCTTGCTGGGAATGAGATCGCATTCCATGATGCGATTGCTGTTGCTGTTGCTGTTGCTGCAGCTGATGCTCCGGCTCTTGGCAGCCGTTGTCTGCCGCTTATGGCTGCTCGGCGTCTGCTGCTGCTGAAACAGAGGAGCCAACACGGGCGTGACGCTGGCCGACTGGCCATAGCCCACGGGCGAGTTCTGTGGCACGGGCGGAGTGCGCGAGCGTCGCGGGGAAGTACTCCAGTTGATGGACGCTGTGGCTGGCGGCAATGGATGTTCCTGTTGCTGCTGCTGTTGCTGCTGCTGTTGCAAGTGGAAGCAGAAAATCGATTTAGTTTTCCAGTTTGCAGTTGCGAAAGGAAGCAACAAAGTTGTTACGCTCAAGTGGCGGGCACTTGAAAAACTTTTAGCTCCTAGCCCCAGCTATAAGCTCCAATCCGAGAGCTGGCGCGTGCTCGCTGATGGCAGCTCATGTTACCAGGCAACCCCTAGGACCCCCAGGGCACCCAGCACACCCAGCACACCCAGAACCCCCCAAAAGAGCCAAGCTTCACCTCGCACCATCTCCGGCTCGAGCTCCAGTCATAGTCGTAGTCGTAGTCATAGTCGTAGTCAGCCGGGTGAAGTTCAACGTAGCGCCCCAAAAATCAATAGGCGCCCCTTTTCATATACTCGTAGACATACTGTATACTGCGACACCCTGTAAAAAGGCTTCCGGCCGATAGACTCGCTCGCCCTCTCTCTGGGAGAGCTTTCTGTGGGCTTTCTCTCAGAGAGCGAGCGAGCACTTCTCGGGTAGATGTGAGTGCCTAGAAAGCCGGTCGATGGAGCTAAACGCACTTCGCTTTTGGTCTTCTCTTTTGGCCCTCGTCTGCTGCGTAAAGGCTAGCGAGCGCTTGGAGTGGGCTCTGTTGGGTCTGTTGTAGGCAACGCAGTCGAGGCTGTCATTATCAGGCTATCGTTCCTCGGATGCTTTGGCCTAATTTATCCCGGTGCGTAGCTCCAATGTGGAGCATAATGAGCAGGGCAGGCCACGCTGCACACCCAGAAACGAATGCGGGTGCAATAGCAATCCCGACACCACTAATTGGAAACCCAATCAGGCCGGGTCGGGTCGGGTTGGATCGGGTCGGCTGGGGTGGGGTGGGGTGGGGTTGGGGGAACACTAATCAACCTCGGGAGCAGCAGCTGCTGCAGATTGCTGCTCCTGCAGTTTTAATTTTCAATTTGGGTGCTTCTCCGCTAATTTGATTCAATCCCTAACTTACCCCTAGCTCTGGCATTTCCACTGCATCCTCGCTGATTGGATTGCCAGGCGAGCCCTGCTCTCCTGCATCCTGGGGCGTTGTAGACGTCCTTTCTGCTGCCGTGTCTGCCTGTGCTTGTGCCTGTGCCTCGGCTCCTGCTCCTGCTCCTGCTCCTGCTGTCTCCTTGTGTGGCTTCGCCAAATTGATTTCCGACACGGCGGCGGCTGTGGGCGTCGGAGTCGCCTTATCAATGCTGGCCACTAGCGGTGTTGGCGGCGACGCCGACTGCGCCGACTGCGCCGCTGTCGCGCTTATGTCATCTGGAAAACAAGCAAATAAAAAAAGTATAGAAGCCGTCAGTCAGCAGAACCACGCTCGGAGGGAAAATCAATATTGCTAAAAAGATTTCGTTTAGGAGTTCCCCATTTGTGATTCCTGGGGCTCTAATTATTTTGTCATGCGTGAGGGCGGCAATCAAGGGTTAAAATTGATGGATCCATTCAGGCGGCACGTTGACCAGCCAGTCTCCCAGCGAGCGGTGGCAACCCAAGCAAAGGGCTTTTTCGCACGCGCTTATCAAATATTTTTGCTGTGGCTGTTGCCCCCGAGGGGTTGCCTCCGAATTGAGCGAGGCAGTGAGAGAGAGAGAGAGTGAGAGCCTCTGAGAGAGCGAACGCGTCATGCACTTGTTGAACGTCCTACACATACACACGCACACACTCACACACACACACACATACTTTTGCGCCAGTTTGCGTGAGCGGCATGGCAAAGCCACAGCCGTAGACGGAACTGAAATCAACAAAAACTGTAGCATACTCTTCGGCGCACGCCACTCGGCGGGGGGTGGGCGTGTGGCCGAATCCTGTTTACGGTTTTGACTGTTTTGACTGTTGTTGCCGTTGCTGTTACTGCGATGCATTCAAAGTCGCTGCAAATTAATGTGCAAGTTGGGCTTGCCCCAAGGGATCCCTGAAGCGCACAATTTCATAGAATTTCCCCTTTGGATCTCTGCTTTGAATCACCTTGATCGATAAGTAAAAATATGTATCTACACATGTAGTTTCCTCGACGATTTTCATTTAAAATTTTCCCTCAATTTATTTGACATAACGGCCATTGATTTTTGCCCTAATATGAGTACGAATATGTGTGTATGGGGGAGGGGCTAGGGCCCTGGCTATTGCACTATGTTCCAGTGTGTAGCTGTCTCTCTAATAGTGTGCGTACTGTGTGTGTGTGTGTGTGTGTGTGCGTTTGTGGGTGGGTTAGAAGTGTGGCACCACCAACAACAACCACCGCATTACGCTGTAAAGTTCATTTACATGCTGGTTGTGATGACATTTCACTCATACAAATAGAGACACAAGCACACACAGACGGAAAGACACCCCATGAATACCCTGCCGTGGGTGTGGGTGTGGGTGTGGGTTTGGGTGTGTGTGTGTGTAAGTCAAACGTCCATTGATAACGAGGAAGCTCCACACCAACACCAACACCAACACACACATACATATACTCGTATGTACTAACACTCAGCCACGGGCTCGTTTGCTTTGCGAAATATTTTAGAAAAGCTGTCATCCGCCTGGACGGGCTGTGAGAAGCGAGCGCCTCTCACCTGGGGGCACATCCAGAGCTAAGTTATTGATTTGCACACACGACAAACAAGAAAAACCCCAAAAATTAAAAGGCAACTCATCAGGGGGAGAACGCTCTCAGGGAAAACACGTCGCGTGCCTAAATAGACAGCTAATTTTTGAAAACCTTTAAAGCGCCATGACGTGGGCTCGTCACAGCCAAGCCAAGCCAAGCCATCTACCTCTAGCTCTGCTTCTGCCTCTGGCTGTGCCTCTGGCTGTGCCTCTGGCTGTGCCTCTGGCTGTGCCTCTGGCTGTGCCTCTGGCTGTGCCTGTGTCCCACCCACATCGGCTGTAAGTCACGCTGCCAGGAAGCGGAAGTATTTCAGCAGTTAACCAACGCTGATTGGTTGAGTGTTTGCAAAACGGCAAAACTCGGCAAGAGCTCGGGCCCCGTCTCCGTGCTGGCGGAAAAGCCTGACGGACATCGCTTGTCAGGCGCTCCGTCGTTGACGACACTCCGGCCATGCTGACAACGATGACGGCAATGTGAATGGACAGTTCTTGCATTAATTTGCATGCAGAATCAAGCTTAGCACTGTGCCGGCACAGTGGGTGCGCTTGGATCTGTCCAATCAGTGGGGAGAATTTTATGTTTTTCAAGACTCAAGACCCAAGACCCAAGATTTTAAATGCTAGACACCGCTGAAAAGTTCTGTTCTTTAAAGGTTTCCTGCCCCACTGTGCCATCCCCAGTCGATTTCAGGGGAAGTAAATTGCTCCCATGCTGCCACCCCCACCCCATTGCAGCCCATTCCACCCCATTCCACCCGTTGGCTGACTTTAATACTTGTTACATAATCTACCCTGACATATGTTTGCATAAATTTACCAATACTCCCTCACCCTCGCATAATTGCAAATTAAATAGAGTGTAAGAAAAAACAGTGATAAAAAGCTGACAACTTACCGGGAATATCGAGCGGAGTGGAGCCGGACTGGGCCTCCCTGACACTTGTCACTTTGCTCTCCTCCAGCTCCGGCTCCGACTCCATTGACGGCTGCTGCTGGTGCTGTGGCTCCTCCTCGTGCTCGGCGGGACAGTGGTAGGGCACACAGGAGGCCGACTCCACGGACATATTCACCGGATACTCGCCGCTGTAGACGGGCGTGCTCTGGCTGCTGTCGCTCCTGGCCCGCGTGCTGCAGTTGCTGATCCCGCTGTCGGTGCCCGTGGCGCTGATCAGGGGCGGCGAGGTGGTGAGCCTTTGTGCTGGCGAGCCTGCCTCCACCTCCAGCTCCACGGGCATCGATTCCTCCAGCTTCGGTGTGGCAGACAGCGGCAACTGTTGTTGCTGGTGCTGGTGCTGGTGCTGATGCTGCTCTGTGTAGCCACGGATTGGCTCTAGATAGTTGGGTGGCAGAACTGTTCGATTGGGTGCTGGTGTGGTCGACCGTCCTGGCGGCGCGTAATGGGGCGTGGGTCCCGTATAGCCTCCAAAGCCTCTCGTCTGTCCGTAGGCTGAACTGGAGGCGGAAGAACTGTACAGCGAGGGAGGCGGCTGCTCGTAGCTGGACTGCTGCTGATGCTGCTGTGGCTGCTGCGGATGCTGCTGCGGATGCTGCTGTTGATGCTGCTGCTGCTGGTAGGGATGGGCCTGGGGATGCGACCTGGGCGGATAGTGCAGCACGCTGGAGGGGATCAGCTGCTGGCCAGCAGGCGTGAACATTCCCTGGTGCGGATGCGCGTGCGGCTGGCTGTAGTGGGGCGAGGCATAGGCGGCATAGCGATAATAGTTGGGCATGTACGAAGAGCTGGCCGATCCGTAGCTGTAGCCGCTGGGATAGGGATGGTAGCCAGGATAGCCCGATCTGTACGGCTGCGGTGGATAGTGCGACATGGCTGTCTGATGGGGATACGGATGCGGATGCGGGTGCGTATGCGGATGGGGATGATGAGAATGAGAATGAGTATGCTGGTGGTGATCGTAGTAGCCGGCTTGGTATCGGTCCGACATGTTCTGAGCTTCAACCTCACGAAAGTTCGAAAGTTCGAATGTTTCCTACCTATTGGCTGCCATCGCGTAGCAACAACAAGGGGCTAGTGGTCCTCGGCCCCATCCCGTTTGCGGTGGTTTCCATATTGCCTGGTCAACGTCGTCGCTGTGGTGTCCTCTTACATGTGTCTCTTATTGATTTTCGCTCGGCCACCTACACTACGCTGCCACTCCGAAATCCTTCCCCCCCGCTTATCCTTGTTGCTGCTTTTGTTGCGTCCTTGTCTGCCTTGTCCACGCTTGGCTGCCTTTTATTTATGTTGGAATCAATTTTCGCCACACTTGCAGTTTTCTTTTGTCCTGCAACGAACGGGGAAAGAGAGCAAAATGGGTTGGTTTATTATCAGACGAAAGATAGTGCCTTGCCGTGCCGAGCCGTACCTTCACTGGGCAAGGAAATGGAAATGAATTCGGTATTGGGATTGGGTATGATTGTGGCAAAAGGAACGGGGCGTGATCGTTAAACAGTTGGCCCGGGCCAGAGCAATAATGAGAGAGACAATTCAATTAACGTTCGACCAATAACTTTTTATGCTCGAGACGTGGTCTGGTCCTAGCCCATGCCGAAGGAGGATGGAAATGGGATTAACAGATAAGTGAAGCAATTCCAGAAGTGTTCGGCGTCTAGCCTGGCAACATCCAGTCACAGCTGCCTTAACCCGCTCTTTAACAATCGAAGAAAGGCAGGCTACTTGAATGGAGAATCCTTGAGGCCAACCAAATGCAATCCCGGCATTCCATATGCTAATGAGAGCCGGCAAACTCGCCAAATATGCCGACCCTGTTATTACGAGTATGCATAAATGTGGTGGCACTGCCACTGCTGTGGGGCTGCTGAAGATGCCCATTGAGTGGCGGTTGGAGAGTGGCAACCTGCCGAGTGCATCTCCTGATGAGCCATGCGCAAAATTCCGTTTGTTTTGCACTCACGCACGGGCAGCAGCAGTGATGGTGGCGGTGGCAGTGGCGGTGGCGGTGGGGTGGCACCCACAGCCACAACAGGCCACAACAGCCATACAGCCACTCAACTTATCGAGCGCATCTCCCCACACACACACACCCATGAGAGCCATGCACCCATAGACTGACTGACTGGATGAATAACCGCATGCATTTTGGCCGCATGCAAGCCGTTAATGAGCCACAAAAGTGCACACACAACCGGAGAGGAGGCTGGCCATTGATAGGTGGGCACAGAGCTTGGCAAGGCGGTGCTGGCAGGGGGAAGAGCCATAGTCGTCACCAAGCGTCTTTCACCAGCTTCACTCATACACAACACACACACACACACTCACAGGACATTACATATATTACATCTGTGTGCATGTGTGTGTGTGAGGGGTACATTTGTTGGTGTGCGTCTGTAAGCTTGCGCTTGACGTGTGCGTTTATTGATTAATAAACTTTTTGTGCAAAAAAAAAGACAAAAACAAAATATAATTGAAGGCAATTGGGGGTGTGGGGGTGTGGGGGTGTGGGGGTGTGGGAGTGTGGGAGTGTGGGGTGGCAACTTTATTGATTCGGTGACGCTGATGACGATGACGATGATGATGATGAAGATGTTGATGATGTCCTGGCAGCAAATTAGCAAGTCAGGGGGGCGGCGGATTGGGCGGAGGACAACTCTATTAGCAAAGTCAAACATGGGGGCAGAGAGTGGATAACATAATCAATGTAAACACAAGCTGGCCGAGAGAGCGAGGCAGCGAGAGAGAGCGGGTCCTTGCTTGCCGGCAGAGAGCATAGCGGAGAATGAGAGAGAGAGAGAGCTTCAATGAGAGCTGAGGGATGGGTGAGAAGAGAGCGAGCTTTTCACGCTACCCAAAAAGGGTTAGGTGCGCGCCAAAGGAACAATGTGTGTGAGCCGTAAATGAAATGAGCCTCGAAATACGTTAAGCAACTGCAATCAGTCCTGCCAGGGTGGACCCTAGACTGGCGCGCCACTCTCTGGCACTCTCCTGCAGCAGCGGCGGGAGCAAGAGGTTGGTGGCAGTGGCAGTGGCAAGTGAGCAGCAGGAAACGGAAGTTGAGCACGAGGTAGAAATGTAAATGGCGAGATGCTGCGTGTTCCAAACACACCCCGTGCTTGGGCTTGTACTGGTGCTGGTGCTGGTGCTGGTGCTGCTGTCGGTGTCTCCATTTATGTATTGGTGGTTCCTTTTTCCTTTTTCTTTTTTTTTTTTTTTGTGCTCTTTGCTCTGTTTTGGGACAGTGCGACACAACAGCAGCAGTGGCAACAGCAACAGCCTCCCACTGTACCCGTACATAAATCAATAAAAACAGCAGCCCGAGACGGGTTTTTGGTCTGCCACCGCTGCCACCGTCCACGCTCGACGCTTGTGTTTTCTGTACTTTTGAATTTCAGAAGCAGCACCCGCTCCTGGGTGGTGTACACCACCATCATTACACGGGTCCTGCGTCACGTCACACGCTGCGTATGTGCAACGTGCCTAACGGGGAGGCACTCGAGCTGGCGAGCTGACGAGCTGGGGAATATGGAAAGCGACTGAATGAGTGTGAATGTATGCAGCGCAACTTTCTCATTTTAATTGAGTTGCTGCCCCTGCAGCTGCCCCTGCATCCACCACTGCTGTTGTCGATGATGGATTTCAATAATTGGGGCAGGATTGCATGAGCGTGGGAGAATCTCAGCATGTTCTAGATGTACCAAAGAAAATGCGTTGGCTACCCAAAAAATACATTTTCGTTTTTTTGTTAATACGATTTATATTTTTGTGAATAATCTTAACACAAATTGCTATTTACCAAATATCCAATGTGAAATCCACTCCTGAATGGTTCAAACTATTCTCTTGATATTCGAATTTATTTGAAAGTTGGTTTTTTGGAACTTCTTAAGCCAGTTCCTTTTGGTTTTGTTATTGTTTTCTGGACTTAGTTCATTTCACATCACAAATATTTAAGCAAAAACTTTTGCTTCCGTTTTCACATGAAAAAAAATACCGTTACATTTTCAAATGTGGCCACAAAACCGTTCACAATGGCCCTGAAGCACGGCCAGGCAGCGCTCTCTCTTCGGCGCTCTCGCGGAAAAATCGAAGAGCGTCCGTGAAGAAGAGTGGCCGTGTGTCCAAATGATCAGCTCTGTGGCAGAGCAGAGCACACCACACTTCCCAGAGTGCCGCACGGCGGCGGTGGTGTTGCTCTGATAAAAAAAAGGCCCACCTACGCTGCTGAAGTGTAGCCAAACGTTACGTATACGCAGCATGTGTGGCGCGCGCGAAAGTCCGACGTAGACTGAAATGCGATACGGTGGCGCGCTTCCATTTATACACCGAAGGCCCTGCAACACGGCGAACGGCGAACGGCGAATGGCGTGTGGCGAATGGCGAACGGGAGACCGAAGTCCCCTGTGGCAAGAACAAGAAAAGCTGGCAAAAGACGTGGTGGCAGCTGAAAAAGGAGCAAAAAAGTACGAGACGAGCCAAGCGACAACAGTAAACGGCACAGCTCGCAGCTGCACTGGGTACGGTACGGAACCCCGAGCCCAGCAGAGGCACATGCTCGTGCTCGTAGTAGAGCTATGTGACCCGATTCGATGGCAAGCTGCCACATGCGCGGGACAGCTAGCCGAGCATCAAGTTGAGAGTGTGGTTGCACTTTGGGGCTGCTGGCGCTCTCTCGGTATCGCTCTCCAAAATTTTGAATTTATTCACTTTGCTTTGCTTACGAATTAGAGCACAAAACAGAAACCAAACAAAAACAGAGCGGTATCTAGACCGTCATATTACTTGCAACGCGCGGTAGCAAGAAATAGATAGAGAGAGAGAGAGAGAGAGAGATAGAGAAAGCAAGTGCGCAGGGAAAATGTTCGCAAAATTCCCGTTTGGGGGTTTCCCACGTTTTGAATGTGAATGAGGCACACACGAGGCACGAGGTATGTATAGGCTCGATTTATCGATGTCCGGGATAGGAACGGAACAGACTGCCATCAATATGCAAAGCCGTAGCACGCTTTCCGGGGCAGCCGCACGAACAGAGCTTTAAGCGAAGCTACCCGCAAATTATTTGGCCACTGAACCCCTGCGGCATTTCGCGGGCCCCGACCTCAGATGACCGATAAGCCAAAAGGTGGAAAGTCAACCTGAAAGATAGCACCTATAGGATTATTATGAGTTGGGTATAGGTGAGGTGTGCGCTATTGATTATAGTAGTAGGGGTGCACTCATCCATCCATCCCTTACAGCAATAGTTACAGGCATGGTTCCCTACGGAAAGCTACCAACAAATTTCAGGCAGACAGAACCGCCTTAAAAACGAAATCAATTCTTATGGTGTCCACTTCTGGCTACGCGCCTGAGTTTCTTGAGGACTCTCCCGTCTCCTGGCCACTGCGCACTCTCAGCTATCTCTCTCTCTCTCTCTCTCTCTCTCTCTGCGGCCCAGTGCACGTGTTTGTTGCGGTTTCCGCTTGCTTCCGACAGTAAACCGAAAGAGGAAAGCCCTCAAAATATTTGTGGGAGGTGACAGGGAAAAAAAACGTAAACAAAGTGTGCGCACGCAACGGAGGATTACAGTGGGGTAGGATGGAGTTGCAGATGGAGATGGGCGCGAGTCCAGTCGGATCCCCGTCAAGGGTGTTTCTGCTATTGATTGTGTAGACAACAAACAGGGTGCTCTGCTAGCAAACAGTTTTTACTCGTACTCGAAAGGTCGGAAATTTAGAAATAGTCAACAAACGAAACACGAAATAAACGCAGATCAAGGATGAACTTGGTGAATCCTCAGCCAAACCAGTGGGCGCCCATGCAGTCATGGGTCCACTCCGTCTGACAGACCCAGCACCACTCGAAGCCGCAGCCAGCGCGTGTGCAGACCATGTGCATGCAGCCGCCTGGAAGAGTAGAGAAATACGAGCATGTGAGGTATGGGATTTACGTAAATCTGTCGACTTGCGTCTTGGCTCCAGCACTTACCATCGCGCTCAGTGGGGGTTCGACATTTTGGACAGGGCTTGGTACTGACTTTGATGGTGACGTTGGTGGCCTCCTCCCAGCGAGCCTCGGCCGCGCGCTAGGAACACAAACGATTACACAATCACACAGTGGTTTGTGCCAAACAAAAATGCTCACATTCGGGTCCACGGCGTACTCGCAGGAGTTGGGTGCAGAAGTACTGCCCCCGTTGGGCAGACAATCCCCAATATGATAGCCCTGCAGGCAGTTGCGACAGAACACATAACCACAGCCATTTTGACAGGTCACCTTGCGGCAGTCGGGCTCCACGAGCAATCCCATGCCGCATCCCGGCTGTGGGCAGAGCACGCCGCCAGCCTGCAGCACATACTCCTCTGTGGCAAATCGCTGATACCGATCGTACTCCTCGCGTGTCAGCAGCTTAAAGTGATGGATTTCCTCAATAAATGAGTGCTCACAGCCAGCAGGACAAGGCAGAGTGTAGCCAAAGTCCGGATGGGGCATGAACTGGCGGTCGCCGAGACGCGAACGGCAATATTGCCGAAAACAGTCAATACAGGTGACGTGCTGGGCAGCGCAGGGGAAGACCAAAACAGTTTCACTGCAAAGAAACAATTTAATGGCCATTTGATTTAAAACAGGAACCAGTTTTTACCGACCTTACATCCGTGCATGCCAGGCAGGGCACATCTTTGATATTGTTTTTGATTAAATTAAGTGGCGCCGCGAAGTCCTTTTCTCCGCCCGAGACGTGCTCAGCGCACTTGAAATAGAACTCGGCATAGGGCGGGTCGCCAGCCGCATTGTCAACACAGGCGATCTCCAGGCTCTCACAGTGTCCGGGTATGCGTCGAGGCTTGAGAACATCGTCCCAGCACTCGGGATCGCGATGTACTGTGAAGGCGCCTCCCTTGCAGAGCGAGCAGCGTACTCGGAGCTTGCCGTTGCACAACTTATCGCACTGCCCGCAGTGCACAAAGAAGTGGGCCTTGGCACGGACTCGATCTTGAAGATATAGACACAGTTTATTAAGAAATTCCATGACGGGACCACCTGTTGCCCACATTCGTCGGTGATGTTTAGTCGCTCATCGTTCTCCAGCTGTAAATCCAGCAGGGTTTCGTTAAGCGGCTTCGAGGCTTCTTCGGTTGGTGTCCCTGTGGGCTCCTCCTCCTCGAGCGACATGGAAAGAAGTTTCTCCCGCTGTATAGTGGGCGGTCGCATGCGAATTGCGTGCAATGTACTTTGCTGGCCCAGATCGCATTGCTACTAAAAGTAAAGGCGATTAGTATATCAATATGGTGTCAGCCACTAGCCTACCATTATGGTGGTTGCATCACTTAGCTCTTTGCCGGCAAATATGATTTTCACCTCATCCGGCTGCAGTCCCAGCTGCGGAGCCACCAATTCTTTCACATTTTTGATGTCCCACTGCGGCTCCAAGTTCACCGTCAGCGTGCGGCCAGTGTTTGTTTTTACATAGATTTTAAGCGTGTTTGTCAATGTCTTACCCCCAAATGTCAGCAGCTCCAGCATTTTGCGCACAAATGAGGTAATTAATTCGAGAATAAAACTCATTTGTTTTGTTATCAGATGGTCGATGCAGTGTTGTAAAGGTGTTGCACACTGTGTAAAATATCGTCACAGTCAGCTGTTTGTACCGTTTTGTGGTGTTTGCCATTCGCTGCGAAGCGACAACACGTATTTGCGCGCAATTGAAACTAATTTTTTTGTATGCAGCCACGGGCTGTTTGGAATTTTTGATTAATTTGGTAGAAATGTCAGGTTTTACTTATAAAGAGGTGAATGGGGACTTATTCAGCGTCAAGGCCGACTATTCCATGTGCCATTGTGTAGCCGCCGACTTGCGTATGGGCAAAGGGATCGCCATCAAGTTTCGGTATGTCCTACATTTTGCTTCGCAGAACACAAAATTAACCATTTTATGCAACTCTTCAGTACCAAATTTGGCCAGCTGCTGACTTTGCAGAGGCAGAATGTCCAGCCTGGCGGTGTGGCCATCCTAAAGGATAAGGAGCGTTTCGTCTACAATCTCGTTACCAAGCAAACGAGCTGGGGCAAGCCCACCTATCAGCTTCTCCACAGCTCCTTGACCGCCATGCGGCAGCATATGGTGAGTGGAAACTATACTCGAATCTCTTCCCCAATTTATTCACCCACATGCCCCCTCTCTCAGATTGCCCACAATGTCCACAAGCTGGCTATGCCCCGCATTGGGTGCGGCCTGGACGGACTCTCTTGGAATAAAGTGAAAGAAATGGTCTGCGAGATTTTCCAATCGGATGCTATTGAACTAGTTGTATACAATTATGTACCAGGTGCAGCCAAACAGTAAACGGGATTATGTTGAAAACGTAGTAAGTGAACTTCTTATTGGCTTGGTGGGGGCACAAAGTTGTAGACCACAATCTCCAGCGGCTCCTGCCCGAACACGTACTCCAGCACGCCGCTCACCTTCTCCCATTCCAAGCCATCAATGCCGCAACCGATGCGCGGTATGGCCAGCTGCTTTACGTTGTTCTTGCGCTGCGCGAAGGGATTCCAGATTCATTAGCACAGAATAGATCGAAATGTTAGTGTAAGGCACTTACCATGTGTTCGCGCATCTGCTCCAGTGAGGACTGCAGGGACTCGTATGTGGGTTTTCCCCAGCTTTGTGGCTTCGTCACCAGATAGTAAATATAGCGCTCATTGTCCTTGAGCACAGCCACATCACCGCTGGCCGCCTTCTGGGCACGCAGCTCATCGACCTTGCCGTAGACCTCCTTGAATTTCACAGCTATGCCCGCGCCCATGGCCAAGTCAGCGCCCACGCAATGGGCCAGCGAGTGCGTCTTGGGAGCCGAGAAAAGGTCCCCATCGATCTCGCTGATTTGGTAACCTTGTCCTGCCATGCCGACCACAAAAGCGCGACGAAATGCTTGACGTAGCTCTAAAAGTTTAGGACAATACATTTTTGTGTGTCGATAATTACGGATTTGATTGTTATGAATGTGACAGTACAGTAGAGGATACTAGTGTGGGATTTTTGAATAGTCATGGCCTACTACTGTATAGCTAAACTTCGGTTTTTGGTTATGTGCCAGCTTGGGCCGCAATATATTTATTAATTTACAATATAAATACCCACAGAATATGCATTTCCAGGTGCAAAAAAAACATCTTAGGTGATAAAGTATTTAGGTATCAACTACATAGATAAGCAGCGGTGCATTTGGTGCTACAAGTCCCCATGCAAACCATTTCGAGTACATATATACAATTCCGATTGGATTCGGCCCCTCAGAATGGAGTCTTCTCCCGGTGGAGCGATTGACGCGATGCGCTGACCGAGCGCGGTATCTGTATGGTCTTCATATGATGACAAGTGGGACAGACAATGTTCATGCTGGCCTTAACCATCTGGGGCGGAGTGTAGAAGAAGGCAATGATGTCCACTTTGTCGTCGGCGAAGACCAGCTCCAGCAGGCTGCGGACACGCAGCCAGTCCAGACGATCGATGCCACACCCCAGGCGGGGAATGGCCAACTTTGTGACGCTGTTCTCCCTCTGAAATGGAGAATTTTCGAATGAGGATCAAGTTTCTGTCTTGCAGAGTCGGCCCGAGTTTTATACCATGTGTTCGCGCATGGCCAGCAGCGCGTAGTAGAGGGCCGTGTAGGTGCACTTCTCGTGGCTGCGCTCCTTGGTCACCAGGTTGTAGATGAACCGTCCGCCCTGCTCCAGCACTGCCACATTACCCGTGTGCTTGTTTTGCCTCTTCAGCTCATCCGTCTGGCCGAACTTGCAGCGGAATTGCAAGTTGATACCCGCACACATGGCAAAGTCTGCACTGACAGAGTGGACCAGCGCGAAGTTTTCCGGCGCACTGAACAGGTTGCCCTTGGCCTCGGTAATCTGACACTTGGGTGCAGCCAGCTGGGAATGGAATCGATTAACGAATTGCTCCAACTCTTACTCCAACACCAATGAATGTCTCACCTCCTTGGACATGTCCTCATGCTCGCAGATCAGAATCTCGATGGGATACTCGCCGTGGGCAAAGGTCTGCTGCATCAGGCGCTTCACTTGCTTCCAGTCGAGGCCATCGTTACCGCAGCAGATGCGGGGCATCGCCACTTTGGTGATTTCATGATTCCGCTGTGGATCGAACGGCGGCATAAATATTTCATTGTACAAATAAATTAACTGTAAATTGATGGGAAAGCGCGCTTTCGGACAGCGACGACTTGGAGATGCTCTATGGGGAAAGAGAAAGCCCCCACATCGTTCATTCTCATTCCACTCACCATATGTTCTCGCATACAAATCAATGCCGCCTGAACGTCCTCATATGTGGAGGCATCGTAGATGCTCGTCTTGGTCACCAAATAGTAGACGAATCGTGCATTGTGCTCCAGCACGGCACAGTTGCCCCGCGCCACCCGCCTCTGACGCAGCTCCTCCACATCCCCATATATGAGACTGAACTGCCAGGCGAGGGAGCCGCGCAGCGCCGAGAACGATGACTCAACGGCATGGGCCAGTGCATAGCTCTGCGGTGCTTGGAATATGTCCAGCTTCGACTCGACGATCTTCACATTCGCTGTGGCCATTTTGCTGTGGCAGCCACTGTGTCAGCTGCAATTAAACGGAAATTATATTTGATTGTTGCCGTCGATTTTCGGCTTCGGCGCTTATTCAATGCCAAAAATGAGTTTTGTACTTACGTGCACGCAGCAGAAACGCAGAAACTTTCGCGACGAGGTCGAAATATTCACGATGGAAACTTTTTTTGGCTTTGCAATTTGTTTGTTTTGTCTGCGAACTGCACTGGGAACACGAACACGCCAACAGGAAACGGAGAGTCGAGTCGAGGCGGCACCAAACACAGAACACCAAACACCACAGACCAGGGAAACAGAAAACAAGGCAATTAGCAAGCGCGTCTCGCGTTCGATTCTTATGAGAATATGTGGGTTCCCAAAAAAAGAGTTAGCGGGTAGTTTCGGATGGATGCTTGTCTATTTGGGCGATGTTCGACCGTTTTACCCACTACCATTCCATTCCATTCCCTTCCCGAGCGATTGTTTGTTAGTGATTATTAATCAAGAGAGACCCGCTATGGTCTGGCACGGCCGGCGTTCTGCAGTGGAATGCGCTGCGCTGCGACTGCGAAAGTGCCGTCGAGCGAAAGCCCCATCAGGTTCTCCGTTGCTGATGATGATGATGGGGCTGGCTGTGATGATGACATGTCTCTGCTGAGTGTGTGCTTGTGTTTGCTTTTATCGCTTTGATGGCTGTTTTGTTTAGTTACTGTGTGTTGTGGTTGTGTTAGGTTAGCCCTAAGGGCGACAGGTTGGCTCGAAATCGTCCAAAATTGTCAAAGTTGCTGTAACGCAAATAATCAGCAGTCATTCTGCCAATTATGAACATGTGCAGGCATGATAACCACAACAGCGATACGAGGTTCTCCGGTGTGGTATAGATTAATGGGTTTAGAACGCGGTGATGTGATGCGTGGGCTGGGGCGCTGTCAAAGGTAATCTGTGGCCTGTGTGCTAATAGGGGCAGTCAACCGAACGTACCGTCAGCCCCGACTGGCCGACGATATTTGTTTGCATAAATAAATATAAATATGACTTAAATTATTCGTTAATTGTAAGGCAGGTGAAATGAAATATACTCTGGATATACACACTCAGGTGCAGTGCATACAAATCACCATATTTAGTAACTAACTATATTCTAAAACGAAAAGGCAGAGCAGCAGCAGCAGCAGCAGCAATGAGAGTAAGAAGTTTTCAAATTTAAAAGTGACGCGCTTCAATTGCGTGGGTGTGTGTCTTCGCTAAGGGTCGACACAGTCAAACGCGTTACACAGCACTGCCAAAAATATGAACAGCTTTTGGCACAAACAACAACACACAAAAAAAAACAACAAGTGGTTGGGGAAAAAGACATTGTTTATGCTTTTATATGATTGAATTTAGCAATTTATCACTTAAACATCACTATTAACTGTATGGTTTTTCGATTTGTGTGGCTTGGAGTGGTCCAAAAGCTAGAATATTTTGTGCTTTCTACTACTACGCATGTCACGCGGGTGCTCCGATTCGTTTTGTTTTATTTAAATTTCCTTTTCTATCAACAAGAGAACGATGAGGGGCACGTTGTGGAAAAGCGATAGCCACAGAGATTCGGATTCAGTTCATGGCAGTTCAGATTGGCGCTTCGTACGACGACGACGACGACCACGACGAGGAGGAGCTGTAGTTTTGCTGGGATTTGGCGTGTAAATTGATTGGCACTCTGCTGCTGCCGTTGCTGTTGCTGTTGCTTCTCCGTTTTTAGTGCAAATTACGTAAATTTGTGTCTTAATATTGTTGTTAATGTTTAAATACTTTACGTAGTAATTGTGTAGTTAGTTGAGGACTTGTGCGGCGTGCTAGAAACATTCGCGAGTCGCGTTTTGGGCAATTATTCCAGACAAAATCTCCCAAAAGTCTCACGCGGAGAGAGAGCAAAAGATAAAACGTTCTGAATCACTCGGAGAATAAATAAAAAGTGCAAGCAACGCACGACCGACAGCGACTTTGACACAGACGCCGACCACGACAGCGACAGCGACGTCAGCTGTTTCCCTCCCGTCCCCTTCCGCCATTGGGGCTGGCTGCTCTTGGGGCCTTACGTATTACGTAGTAGTAGTTATCTCCAACTAGTTTTTCCGTTTTCGCTCTCTTCTGTTCTGTTTTGGTTGCCGTTCGTGTGCCTGGTTTTTGCCTGTGTGCTTTTTGTTGCCTTATTTGTTGCAATGACTTCGTTGACATTGTTCTGCTTTCTGCGTCGTTCTGCGGTCACTGGCGACGCCGCATACGCCTACGCCTACGCCAGTGCTTCCAATCGGCGGTGCGTTCAAACGCTTCAAAGGCGCCCCTCTTGTAGGCGGCATGCAACAACAGCAGCGGCAGTGGCAGCAGCAGCCAAAGCCCCAAATTCGAATGCAAATTCTGGCGGTAAGTTTGAACTTTAATAATGCAAATTACGCGTGCAATTGTTGATTTATTATGAATCCATCACCTACATGCATACAATAGATAGATACAAATATCTTTCTATCTTTTCCCCTTTCCAACTGTGGGTGGGTTGGCAACACTGATCATTTTTCAAAATTTGTTGCGTTCTCTCATCTTTTTTCGCCAATTCTCTCATAATGCCTCCCACTCGTCATTTTAACGACTATATGTACGAATTTATAATTAAAATAAACTTTTGTTGCTTGACAATTTTTTTTAATGAGCCACAGCCCCAAAAAAACACACACACACGTCACACATCACTTATTACACACAACAAGTGGCTGTTGTATAAGAATAAAAAGGGGGCTGGCGTCTAATAACCCGAAAAAAATAAACATTTTGGAATCCGAATCGATGCGATGACATCGCTGGGTCTTCCACGAGCTATTAATCGCCTTTTGATTGCCTCATTGAAAGCGCATTAGGCACTTCAGTTGTTCCTCCGATATCTGAAACTGGTTCGCGTTCAATTGCCGTTTAGTCAATATTATAACACCCTCGTATCCAGTGCGGATCGATCAAATATATCCATTACTCAGAAAGGTGTTAATGGGCGGACCGATGCGAGCATAAAACTTGTTTACTTGCCCAATAATTTATTGTTTATTAATCGCCAGCCCACTCGTCCACCCCAGATTGATTAGAGCCGAGACCTCCAGAGCCCTCGAAATATATTTTGGACTAGGTTAAGCTGATAAGATAAGGAGGGCGGCGGACAGAGAGAGTCCGCCGCCGATCGAATGCCTCACAGTTTGGCTAAATATTCAAAAATTAGCAGATCTACAGCTGGCTATTTATATTTCGCCATTCAAGAAATAAGCCAAGTCGTGTTTAAGCCATTAAGCTTGAGCTGGAAACATCAAAACCTTCTAGAACTACTGTAGGTGGAATATTCAGGGAATGTGTGGGATATCTCTGATGATCTCCGATAAGATAAAGCCAGTAGAGCCATCAGCAAATCAATTGAAATTGAGTGTGTGCTTAGTGGGGCTTACGTGCACATGTTGTACCCATCATCCATCACATTCGCTTTTATTGTGTAAGGTCAACGTTATTACATTCATTGGGGCGGCACTGGGCGGGTACTGGGCGGCACTTCCCGGCAAACAAACCTACGAGAATGGCAATGAACTCTAATTTGAGTGCCCAAGAGTCCCACTTTCATCGCTGCCTACACTCGCTTTCAATTAATTTCTATCAGAATGTTGATTTCAAGAATACAGAAATACAGAAATAATTTCCATGAGTTAAGTTCAAGGTCATTACCAAGCAAACACTTCGCCAAGACGACGTACTACGTCCAGCCCACACACGCAACAAGAAAAAACGACAACAAAAAAACAAAACCCCTGTAGTGCTCGCATACAAATAATAAATAAGCAGCGGATTGAATAAATACTATAGTATATGTATACGTATATGTGAGGTTAGTGATATATGTACATATGTATGGATGTATAGACTTGCGAGCCCCCTATAGATGAAAACAGAGAAGCAAAAACTTGTTACACACGCTCGAGAGAATTGAGAGTCGCAATCGCTCCATACGATATCTTTCCTCCTGGTGTGCCATGTGCCAGGTAGAAACTGGGATATTATATTAAAACCAATGCAAACATTATGCTGATAAGCATTTATAATACTCGCAGTCGTCTATCTCGTTCCCGTTCACTTCGAGTCTGCGGAATTTCGGGTTTGCCAAAAGCGAAAACAAGAACCGACCCGCTCTTGTGCGGCCACCCCTGCTGTTTCCAACCGCCTAGGCCCTATCGTATCCCCCTCTGTATGAGTGAGAGATTGTCAGAACAATTAGACGACTGCTTGTGTCGCCTCGCCTCGCCTCAGCCCATTTCACTTCCAGTCGCGTATACGCCGCGTATCTGAGCACACACGTTCCGCTCTCCCACCGCCACGAAAGATACCAAATTCTAACGCAGCCCGTCCCAATCTAAATTCTATCACAGACTTTGGTCCGCTGCTCAGAGGTTCTACCAGAAACATGGCGTCTTCTGCTCCCAAACTGGTGGCTGTTGCCGAGTCCCGGCGCTTCATGATCGACTGCTTCAAGGCGGTGAAGGTACCCCAGGCCCATGCCGAGGCCCAAGCCGATCTCCTTGTGGCGGCCGATCACCGGGGCCACTTCAGCCACGGCATGAATCGCCTGGAGATGTACATCAACGATCTGGCCATCAACTCCACGGACGGTGGTGCAGAGCCGAAGGTTCTCAAGGAGACTCCGGCCACCGCCTGGGTGGATGGACTCAATGGTCTGGGCGCTGTGGTGGGCAACTACTGCATGGACCTGGCCATCAAGAAGGCCAAAACTGTGGGCGTTGGCTGGGTTTGTGCCAAGGGATCGAACCACTACGGCATGGCCGGCTGGTATGCCATCCGAGCCATGGAGCAGGGTCTCGTCGGAATGTCCATGACGAACACGTCGCCGCTGATGGCCCCCACACGGGCCAAGGAGGCTGCCCTGGGCACCAATCCCCTCTCCCTGGGCGCACCCGCCACGAACGGCGACAAGTTCCTGCTGGACATGGCGACCACAGCCGTTGCTGTGGGCAAGATTGAGATCCAGCGCCGCAAGGGTGCCGCTCTGCCCGATGGCTGGGCACAGGATCCCAATGGCAACATCACTAACGATGCCGAATTGGGTTTCAGCACCGGCTGCCTAATGCCCTTGGGTGGATCGGAGTTGACCTCTGGCTACAAGGGATTCGGTCTGGGTGCCATGGTGGACATCCTTTCTGGCGTCATGTCCGGTGCCCATTACTCCACCCAGGTGCGTAAGTGGACGCACGCTGGAGCCGATTCGGCGGCAGATCTTGGCCAGGTCTTCATTGCCGTTGATCCCAATTGTTTCGCCCCCAACTTCGAGGAGCGCATGACCGATTTCAATGCCCGCCTTAGGGGAGTAGAGCCGGTAAGGACCTCCGTCTTTATAGCCATCATAGCCTCTCGATAATCTGTACTTTGCTCTATTTTTGCAGACTGATCCCAGCAAGCCGGTTCTCCTGGCTGGTGACAAGGAGAGCCAGAATATGGCATCCGTTGACGCTGCCGGTGGCATCCAGTATCTGGAGAATCAGCTAAAGACCTGCGCCTCCTTGGCGGAAAAGTTGAACATCAAGCCCCTGGCCTTTAACTAGAGACGAGCCCATGCCACATGTGTGTGTGTGTCGTTCATTGCCATATGCTGGAGGAGCTTCTGCATTTTGCCTGACCAAAGCACAGCGTTATTTAGTGCCTAAGTTTTGACCACATATCCGATCCGTTGGTGTTCTATGCAACAGTTTGTTTTGCACATTTGCTTTTGCAATATACATACATATGTACATACATATGTATACGTACATAATACATTATGATATTAATTACGAGTAATAAATAATAGAATACATCGTTTATTCGTGTGGGTGTGTGTTTATAGTTGAAGGAAATTCGGTGTGCGATTAATGTTTCTCTATCACTTGGCGCAGTACTTTCTCCGCATCCCACTTGGCCTCTTTGTGGGCCATCTTGGACTTGCAGAGAATGCGCGACTTGTACTCCTTGCATTTGGTCTGGAACAGATGCGGCGTCATTGGCTGATTGTCGCACATCTTAACCTTCACGGCCGATCGGAGCTCTTCGGGATTTTCGGTGACGCTCATAGACTTGATGAAATTTAAATAGCGTTCGTTCTGCTCGGTCAGACGATGTTTCTCCTCAAGCAAGAGAAGGTTTTGGGCCTCGACCATGGCCTGACGACGCCAAAAGTTCCTCAGCAATTTATTCTGTTCTAACAGCTCCGCCTCGGTTATATCCACATGGGCTTTCATATTCAATGTTTTCAGAATGAACTGCTCATCGACAGCCCCCAGATCCGTCTCATCGACAATCTCACCGCCCAAGATGACTTTTTCCGACTCGGTTTGCAGCTTCCGGCAGGTGATCGACAGAGCCAGCAACAGTTCGCCACTCTTCACGTGCTTTTCCAATTGCTGTGGCAGGACTATCTCAATTAAGACTGGTTCGGATCGGATCAAACTGAAAACAGAAATTACCTTTATTATGTCGTAGCACTCGCCCGTTAGTATACGCAGCTTCTCATGGGTGATCACGCGATCCATTTCCTGATTCTGCTCGATCTTCTTACGCACACGCGTAAAGTACTGAAACTCCAGGCGAAGATCATTTAGAGTCGAGTTGTTTTCCGACTCGACTCGCAGCATTTCCTTGTTCAGATCGGACATGGCGTTAATGTTCTTTAATTCCTCATAGTTGAGTTTGCGCGACTCATCCATGAAGGCCGCCTGGCGCTCGGTTAGCCAACGGATCTTCTCGTACTTGTGGGCATCCAGCTCTGTGCTCCGAAGCGACTCCACAAAATCGTTTAGCTGCTGCTGCATATCGGTCATCCGGAGCACGACCTGATCGCGTATGCGGAACCGATTTTCGATCTCTGTATTGACACGATCGTCGCGCTGCTCCAAGAAGATCTGGTAGTCCTCATTGAGCTGGTCGCGCGTGGTTATGTTCGTGGCATGTATAATGTTCTCGCTGTTCTCGTGCATAAAGTCCACCTCCTCTGTGCGGCGCTGGACCTCATCGTAGTATTCCCTGAGCATTATCTCTGCCTCTTGATCGTACATGTTCCTTATCCCATCTATCATGCCGTGGAAGCAGTCTCTGACGTGATCAATTAGCTCCACCGTCTTGCTAAAGCAGCGCATATGGCGATCCTGTGTCTGGGTCATGTCCTCGATCAACATCTTGATGTGATCGTTCTTGCCTTCAATATTTCTTTCGGCCTTGTTGCCCCAATTCACGATCTCCTCACGGAGTTCCGTGATCTTGATCTCTTTGCACATCTCGTGCCACTCCTCGTTGCCTCTCTTCTCCATACGCTTGCCCATTTCCAGTTCGCGGCTCAGGGCATCCTACTCGAGGGCGGAACCCATTAGACCTGCGAACAGCTTGGCGGCAACTATACCAGTACTCACGCGCATAATCAGCTTCTTGTCGGCCATCTGTTCTTGTCTCTTGGCCTCCTTCCTGGCAGCCTTCTTCTCGGCTTTCGTTGGCTTGTGAGGCCCCTCAGGCGCCTTATCCAATTCATCCTGCATTTCCTGCAGATAGTTGTCTGTGAGTCGAGTCATCCGTATTTCGGGTTCCCCTCCACCCGTTGGCTCGGACATTTTGGTGTATTACTATTTTAATCACTAATCACAAATGAGAAATACGAGTATAAAATATTGGTTTTTTGTTGCTGACAGTTGAAATTTACTCTGTTTCTGTGACCGTATACGAAACCAGTCAAGATTGTTTACGTTGAAGGTTATGGCAAAGCTTTCTAGAACGTGAGCAAAATGCCGTTACATGTGCCAGGCGATTTCCAACACTGATTCGAGTATGTGGTGGAGCCCAAAAGCTCTCTCCGCGCAGCATCTGGAAACTTCAGTGCGACGCAACCGTGATTTTTCACAGTTAACAGTGAAAGCTTGAATCGTGAGGTTGTTGGCGCGCGCATGCTACACGGACTAGAACGAGGAGCAAAACCCACCCACCCACCTCGCCACTGAAGGCACGCCATCCTGTGTTATTTTTTTTTTCCCGGCTCCGCCTTGTAAACAAAAATAACTTTGCTTGTGCGGTGGTGACGGCCGTGGTGGTGGTGTATCAACCCCCAATGGCCACAACGGCAACAAAGGCAACTACAAGGCTCGAGTGGCAAGGGCAATACAGACAGCCAGCCAAGTTTTTCGGGGTTGCAGACAGTTGGCAAACAAGCTGTGAATTCGACTTTAAAAGCCCATAAATATTGAGCAAAAAATACTCGTAAAACCGCAATAGCATTCGTATCTGTATCTGTGTCTGAGCATCTATCGCGTGGACGTTTCTGTGCATTCAAAATGAGCGATGCAGGCGGCTATCAGAAGCTGCCCCCCGGCTGGGACTGCAAATACGACCAGACAACGGGAAATTGGTAAGCTTCGAGTGCATTCTACATACATACATATGAATATAATTTGTGAATGTACATCCATACATATGTATACGACTATGTACCAGCGATGCATGTCATTCCAAACGTCATAAATATTTATGCCTGCATTAAAAAGACTGAAAAAGGAAGATAAATCTGTTTGTGAGTGGAGAAATGTTGTTGTGTTGGTGCGCGCTTTTCCTTGCGTGCCACTAGACGACTGTACCCAGTTTCCCAGCGGGAAATTTAATGGCCTTTCGCTAGGCAACCGTGGGGGGGCACTTTCGAAGGATATAAAGACTGTAACTGTTGGTTGGAGGGACTCTAAAGTGTCAAGTGGTATGGGGATGCTTCCAGAATTTTATGTTTTACGATATACGGTGTACGATAATGTATTGTTAAGGAGTGCATTGACTGAGAAGAAGTGCTTTTAAAGCAGTATTTCAGTATGATGTACATTAAAGCGCTTTAACAATGAAACATGGAGCTGTTCTGGCACTTTGGAGACATTTTTCCTTTAGAACCACTTCTTGTTTACTTGTCGAAAGTCCTTAAGTGTCAAACACATCTCTTCACGGATACTTGGGGCTACTCAGAAACCCCAATTGGCCTCATTTTTGCATAGCTGCATAAATTGTGTCACTTCCGCATCGTCAGATGCCCACGGGGTGCCTGTGCCTGTGCCTCTGCCGGTGCTGGGTCCGCTGCCTTCTTTGGCGGGCCTTGTGCAATTAAGCAACAAGCCCAAAGACTGACTGTCATATACGTTAATTCAAGTGGCCACTCAGCCAGAGACGACTCCTCGTCTTCTATCCCCATCCCGCACACACACACACGCACACAGAGCTGCAATCAGAGGCAAGATTGCCTGTCAAATGTGACGACAACGATGAGGATGACGACTGGGCGTCTTTTGGGCGCCTTTTGGCAGCTACTTAGCACGTGCCGGTCTTTAGGAGGAGTCGGAGCTTTACCCTTTTCCCTTTCACCTGTCCACTCCCAAAAGTGCCATCAACTTGTGGATTGAATCCACCACCAGCGAAGCGCCACCGGCTGGCGGCAGAAATCAACCCTTCCATGGCCTGCATCATCGGGAAGCTTTCGACTGTCCCTGGCTGAGGTTGTGGCTGTGGCTGTGGCTGTTGGGAGGGGTCATTCGATGGCCTTTGATTTGCACTTTGCACTTTTGGCGGAAACTTTCTGTGCGGCGGCCTGTTGCAAGCTCATCTGCCATATGATTGTCGTTGCAGCTATTACATAAACTATCTGACAAAGGCCATGCAGCTGGAGGACCCGCGCGGACGCAGTTACAAGCAGCTGCAGAACGAGCGCTGTTCCACCGAGTCGATAGCCTTGCAGGTGAGTTGTGTACAGTTCGTACAGTTCGTAAAGTGCAGTTTATTGATTTTCACCCAAAACACTCGCATTTCCAGCAAATGGTCAGTACGGCACAGACCTCGCACAACAGCTCGCCGTATCACGTCTATCCCAGTAACAGTTTGACGGCTGTCAGGGCCTTTCAGGAGCGCGAGCAGTCCACGCTGCACAATATATCGACGAGTCCGCTGCTGTCGGCCTCCTCCAAGGGACATTTGGTAAGTGACCATGGAATTTCCGCAGGATTCGCCCAATCACAGCTTCCTTTGCTTGCCAGGAAATGTCCTCGCCCCTGCCCTTTCAACGGACCCGCCTGGGTGGTAACATGTCCAGGCGTTCCACCATTCAGGAGACCTCGTTCACCACCCAAACCGAAACGGATGGCGTGGTGGCCAAGATCCAGAACATGTTCCCCACAGCCGGCGAGAACCACATTCGCCTGCTGCTGAAGCGGTAAGACCTCCCATCCGAGCCCCTCCCCGCGCTTTCATGCTAATCCTCCGTAACCACACTAATCTCTCCGTACTTACGTCTCTATCTTCTCTCACGCTGCCGCTTCCTGCACCCACCTAACCCCACGCATACGAATCGCCTCCATTATTTTTCCACGCTTACTAACCCCCACTGAAGCTACTACAATCGCGAGGCCGTCGTCATTAGCGCGTTGCAGGTGGAGAAGCATCCGGTTACGATGCCCGGGCCCTTTGTGACGCCACCCGCACAGCGGCATCTGTTCCACAGCAATTCCGCTTTCTATATGACACCACCGGCGCGTCGCCTGGACATGGCGGCTAGTCGGGGCACCTCCCGCACGGCCAGTCCCCTGCCAGGCGGCCGTTTTGGTAGTCTCATGAGCATGCAAAGCGGTGGCCACTTGGCTCAAGTCCTTCCCCCAGGTGCTGTGCCGCCGGCTTTGCATGGATCCCCGCAGTGGCGGAGCTCGCCCAAGCCGCACTCGTCGCCCAAAATGAAATTAAGGTGCGCCCGAAAAAGCGTCCAAAGCAGTGGGAGATGGATGAGCCTCCATCTCTGACTGCGCTATAGTTCCGTTTAGCTAGAAAGAGTTTTAAAAGTGCACATTACCTCTTAAACTAATCTCCTCCCTCGCTGTCCCTTAGATACATGAAGAACATATTTCCCAAGGCGGATGAAATGCTGCTCCTGGACATCCTGGCCAATGCGGACAACAATGTGCAGTTTGCCTCGGAGAAACTGATTTCTTTGGGCTACACGAAGCGGGATATGCAGCAGCCGCACAAGCCCAACAATCGTCCCCCGGAGCAGCCAGGCGGAGATCTGGCCACACAGCACATTCCACTGCGCCCCAAGGAGTACTCCGACGAGGAGAAGGCCAACAGTGAGTGGCGACCACACATTTTATTGGCGTTCAGTCATTTGATTTCTTTCATTTCTATGCTATCCAGTGCAAACGCTGCTGAAAGAGAAGTACCCACAGATTGCCGAGCGCATCATTCTGATGGCCTTGGAGTCGGTGAACTATGCCGAGGATCGGGCCACACAGATACTGCAGATTGTGCAGGACGAGGACGAGCAACGAGACCAAAAGCATGCCGCTGTGCTACCCAAGCAGCTGGATCTGGGGAAGGTCATAGGAGGCGAGCATGTTGATGGTCATGCCACAGACAGGTAGCTTTTCCAGATGGTCACCCGATGGACATCGTCCCGCCCTGCTTTCCCACCAAACCCCACCACACCCCATCCACCTCTCTTTCTCTCTTTGCCCTGCTGCTTTATCCGTTTGTTAATCGATTGCCTATTTTCTCTGTGAACTTTTGTTGCTGCCTTTGACAAAAACTAAAAATCTGAAACCGAAACTGAATCCCCCGAAATCGAACACACACACTTTTCGCTTGCTTTGCGCGCTGCCACGTCTGCCACCAAACAAACGCCATGCCATCATCCAGCATTCTCACGGTGGTGGTGGAGAGAGCACCCACAACCGTCTGTGCACCGAAGCCACCACACAAGCGCCACATTTTGCCATCCATCAATGTCACAACACCGTCAACGGCCACCACACAGATCATCCTAGATCACCGCCACTATACGCCCACAATGGAGGGGTACAAGGAGGTCAAGGCGGTGGAGGAACAGGCAGGGGAAGAGGAGGCCAGGAAGCCCCCAGAGAAGACACTGTCATCCATTTCCAGTGCATCCTCATCGCATTCATATGTCTCACCCGCACAGTCACCCACATTGCAGCCCTGCTACGAACGCCTCACCACCAAGAGCATCCTGGCCCGCGGAGGCTGCGGTAGCTTCAATCCAACAACAAACACCAACAGTTACAATAATCTGAACAGTAGCAATAGCAAGAACTACAACATCAGCGGCTACCTGCATGGCAATTCCCACTGCAATAGCAATGCTAGCTCCTATTCCTCCTATTCAACATCAATGACGTCATCATCGCTGGCATCGGCCAACACCAACTCCAACTCCTCATCCATAGCGAAGGCAATTGAAAGTCGCTCGCGCGCCAAAACCGATTCACTGAAGTATGCGTATGCCCATTACCATTACCGTTACCGTTACCGTTTCGCAATTAAAAAAAAACCGATGCGCATGCGTTGTTTTTAGAACTTTTGAATGGAACTCAACTCGCATGCGACGTAGGGAGGCTCCAACTCCAGCTAATCCTAATTTTTTTTATTCTTTTACTTTGGTTTCTCTAGTTTCTTGATGAATGTGTAATCCTAATATACTATTTCATTATTATTTGCTGTCAAATGGCTTTAAATAAGGTTTCCCTCTGCCCAACAGACATCGACAGCAATCCACGACCTTTGGAAACTCCCATAACTCGGATTCCTCAGAGTTTCAATCCATAATCGAACGCATGGCCACCCTGGGAGCCAATTCGCAGCTCACCAAAGGAGCAGATGAAAACCTACTATTGTAAGTGTCCCCAAGGCATACATCGATATATAGTCCATTCTCATGGGTTTCTTCTCTCAGAGCTGACTACGTCACCTGGAATGGTCCCAATACAACGCTCATCCACAAGCAGCCCACCCAAGGACCCGATGCCAGTCTGTTGAGCGAACGCACCTACAAGACAACCGGCAGGAACACGGAATTGTGCAAGGGAGCCAAGGCGGGACTGGCCAAGGGCAGCATTTATGCCCAGGGAAGCAATAAAAGTCCCAACATCAAATGCAACTAGACCGGCGGACCGGACAGTCTCCTCTAGAGTGCCAAAAAGCAGGGAGAAGACATTTAATCAATAGCAATGCACAACACCCTCCAGAAACTCAGACTAATCTTTTGTATGTGTCGTGAAAAATTTTCGCTCTACTTGTTCCCCCTATGTATACCCACACCAAACACATTCCATCCAAGCTCCACTTTTTTTTTAGTATAAAACTATTGATACTCTGAAAATAAATTGATATTAAAAAAAAGAAAACTAGCAAACTATCTTATTCATATGCTATGCCTAACTGGTTAGGTTTATGATACAGAAAAGCAGAAATGGGCGGACTTGGACTTAGACTTCGTCTTCATTGAGGAGCATGTTGGGGATTCCGTCGGTGATTGGGAAGATTCGCCCCGTCTCAGGGCACTCCAACTGGCCCTCCAGCACGTCGATTTCGAAGAGAAGATGGTGCAGCTTCTGCAGAAGCTGTTCGTTGTCGACTATACTCTCTGGCTGCACAGCGGGTATGTCTTCAGCAAGTTCCGCCTGAGGGAAAATTTTGACAATGAAAACTATACGCATACATATGTATATACGCAATGCCACATTTCGCACTTACCACCTGTGCGGCTCCATAGACAGCAGACCAGTCCAGCTTGGGCAGAAGGCGCTCCACAAATGTGGGGTTAAATTCAGTCTCCACTAGTTCCTTTTTGCTAATCTATATACAAAACCATAATTCCATGAAACAATCAATACGAGGCACGCAAGATTCCAGCACTTACCGTCAGTTTCAGGGGAAAGCCAACCTTTACGCCCTTAATGGCCATCGATGTAAGGAAATTGTATGTGCTGAGTTTCATTTTAGAGCTGCGAATCGTTGATTTTTTCGTTTAGAGTGAAATTTATTGTATTTTCAAAAAGAAATAAAGCGGCACGCGCACGTTTTTCTGCTTCTTGGCTCTTTTGACATTCACTGGGAAGCGCAGACACAACAGCTGTTTGTTTGTCGTTTGTTTTGTTTGTCCCTTTTCGCTAAAACCTTTTTTTGTTTGACCTATTTCGCTTTAACCATTTTTTACGCAAAATCCAATAAAAGCCAGTATTAAGAATAAACTAGTTAAGTAGAACAATGATTCATCAATCGTATAAAAATATGTGGGCATGGCTAAATATTCTATCTAGCTAATAATATTCGACGGAACATCAAAATTGAGTAATATGTATAATATAACTTGAATTCGTCAGTATATTTACGGTATATTTTTAAAATTTGACGGTATATTTTGGTATATTTCTGATGGTCGCACGGTATATTTTAACGATAAGTCCGCGTTCACACTGATCTTCACCCAACTGCTGCAATTTAATAGTTTTTAGGAGTTTCTAGATGTAATTAAAGTTCCAATACTTGCTAAAACAGTGACACAGAGCAGAATAAACGAGTGAAGGCTAGAAATGGAGGATATATTCCACTGGTGCCGCGAGGGCAACTCAATTCAAGTGCGCCTCTGGCTGGACGAGACGGAACATGACATGAATCTGGGGTAAAAAGAAACAAATAACTGTTGAATGCTTTCTCATTTGCAGCGAAACACTAAAAATAATGAATTTCCATGCAGGCATATGCCTTCCGATGGAATTTAAAGTTACTCATCCACTTATGAGCCCCATATAATGGCAGCCATTCAAGAGTCTAGCAGTGACGTCATGATTTATTCTTGCGTTGTGTAAACAGACCGAAGCGCATACATATGAAAAAGCAACAACAAATCGAAGGCGTCGCCAGCATAAAACCTGCTTCCCACACAATTTATATTTATATTTATATTGACTTTCCTTCCAGAGACGATCATGGCTTCAGTCCTCTGCACTGGGTGGCCAAGGAGGGACACGCCAAGCTGGTGGAGACCCTGTTGCAGCGCGGCGCCCGTGTTAATGCCACCAATATGGGGGATGACATCCCACTCCATTTGGCTGCCGCTCACGGTCATCGTGATGTTGTCCAGATGGTGAGCAGTAGAAAAAAACATTCAAACAGTGCAATCTGAACATACTGAATCTCCCTTTTAGTTGTTGCGTGAAAAGTCGGATGTGAATGCTGTAAATGAGCACGGCAACACGCCTCTGCACTATGCCTGCTTCTGGGGCTATGACATGATCTGCGAGGATCTGCTCAGTGCTGGGGCGCTGGTCTCTATTGCCAATAAGGACGGGCACACCCCCGTTGACAAGGCTAAGCCGAGTCTGGGCAAGCGTATGCAGGACTTGGCCGAGAAGAATGGCCAGGAAATGAAGGTCATTAGCTTCAAGGAGCAAAGCTGGCAGGGCATGAAAACTAGGTCGCGAGATGCGACGCTCTCGCGCTTCAAGGGCATCAGCATGGGCGACTTGGATCTGCACACCAAGCTCTCGGTGACTGCCTCGGGCGAGACATGGAGGGGACGCTGGCAAAAGAACGATGTGGTAGCCAAGATTCTGGGCGTGCGTCAGTGCACGCCGCGCATATCGCGCGACTTTAACGAGGAGTTTCCCAAGCTGCGCATCTTCTCGCATCCCAACATTTTACCCATCATCGGAGCCTGCAATTCGCCTCCCAATCTGGTGGTGATTAGCCAGGTAAGTCTGTGTACATCTGCCATTATGCTGAGAGAAACAAATTCGTTTTTTTTAGTATATGCCACGGTCATCGCTCTTCAATTTGCTGCATGGAGCCACCGGCGTGGTGGTGGACACCAGCCAGGCGGTCAGCTTTGCTCTGGATATTGCCCGCGGCATGGCCTTTCTCCATTCGCTGGAGAGGATCATACCCACATATCATCTCAACAGCCATCATGTGATGATCGATGAGGATCTGACGGCACGGATCAACATGGGCGATGCCAAGTTCTCGTTCCAGGAGAAGGGACGCATCTACCAGCCAGCATGGATGTCGCCAGAGGCGCTGCAGCGTAAGCCAGCGGACCGTAATTGGGAGGCCTCCGATATGTGGAGCTTTGCCATACTCATCTGGGAGCTGACCACGCGTGAGGTGCCCTTCGCCGAGTGGTCGCCCATGGAGTGCGGCATGAAGATAGCCCTGGAGGGACTGCGAGTTAAAATTCCACCAGGCACCTCTTCCCACATGTCGAAACTAATCTCGATCTGCATGAACGAGGATCCGGGCAAGCGGCCCAAGTTCGACATGGTTGTGCCTATTCTGGAGAAGATGAAGCGTTGAATTGCAGCAGCGATTAATAAGCCAAAATGTGCCTTGTCTGCAACGTGTTTTGCCAACTAATTTTAATACCACTTTGTGTTAACTTGTCTAACTGAACTTAACCGAAACTCGAACCGAAAGCAGCCGAGCGCAATCCCCTTTACGGCTACCGTTTCCCTTGTATTCTCTGTCTAGAATTTATGTTTACTGTGTCTCACCTTCGTTTCTTATGATTTTCCATGATGTTCTCTGTCCGAGTGCTCGATTTTATCGTACATTTTAAGTTCGATGAATGTTAGGATCGTATTTATACAGAATTATATTTGTTACTAATTTTTTTTTTAATAAATGATGTATGTACCTACGAAAAGGCGGTACAACGTTTTTACCGAACACCGTCTCCCGTGTGCGTACAGCTTTTCCCTCGAAAGCTTTTTCCACTGACGAGCAAAACAACTGAAGCTTTCTGCCTGCATTGTGGAGTGGCGTGGAGTAAAGTGGGGGTGCGGTACGGTCGGGTAACGTGAGCAAAACGTCCCTGACCTGGTTTCAATTTCATGCACGCGATTTTGTGCAGCTCGCGTGGGCAGAGACAGAGACGGAGGCAGAGGCAGACCGCGAGGCGATGTGGCAGAGCGCCGGCGTGAGAATCTCCCTCAAAGAGCGCCAGAAAATGGTGTCTCTGATGTGGAAAATAAAAGTACTTCTCTAAAATGCCTATTTTTATTTTGCATTAAAATATAAATTTTTGTATTGTCCTTCATAATCTGTTTGAAAATTCCCAGTTATGTGGCATCCCTCATTTATGCTTCTAAAGATATGGCTCGACTCTCTTTTGGCCCGGCTCTCACCGGCTTTGGGGCTCGGCTCTCTGTTTATGTTTTTGCGGCACCATTTCATTTGGGGCTGCTGCTGTCTTTGTTGCTGTTTTTGCCGCTGCCGCTGCCACTGCGCTGCCATTGCTGTTGCGGCAAGCTTGCACCGAGCCATGTGATTGTTTTGTTGGTACATCCTGTGCCATAGCCAGTGGCTGCCCTCCCTGTTATTGTTGCTGCTGCTGCTGCTGCAGCTTTAAAAAGTTTTCCTGTTTTTTTTTTGTTTTGTTGTTTTGCTGCATTTTGTTGTCGCCGTCGTCCTGTCGCTGTCGCTGGCGCTGTCGTACGACCAGGACGTGGTCGTAGTCGTAGTCGTCGGTACTTTTCGGGCCCAGAGGCTGGTCGGTCGCTCGGTCGCCCCACAGACGCAGAGACAGGCAACAGCAGAACTGCAGCTGCAGTGTCCAAAAGCCGATTTACAGTTTTCCATGCCAGTTATGACGGCAGCCAGCCAAACGGCAACAGCATTTCCGCAATGGCAAAGGAACCCAAAGACAATTAATTCCAGTGAAGGGAAGAAACGTGCGGAGAACTAATTAAAAATCACTACAAATATTCAAAAGCTTTAAATAATTAACTACAACAACACAAACTCAGACGCATACACACACACACAACCACATGAAGGAAAGGAAGTGAAAAATTCCATGGCATCTTTTAGGCGTTGCGTGTAAGAGATTTCTCGAACAGATTCGGGATTGCGTTCTGTGGCTAAAAAGAAGAGTTTTTTTTTGGTGCCAGAACTTGAGTGAGAGCAGCTGCTTAAATGTATTTTAGTGATTGCACTCAACAACAGCCAGCCCCTTGGAGGGCCGGCAATCCATGGAGTATTCAAACACAACGGGTTTGAATCACATTGACCAGGAGCGGAATCGAAATCGGGATCGGAATCGGGATCGGGAACAGCACCAACAGCAGCAGCAAACCAGGTTAATATTTATAAATAGTCCACGTACATCCCACATACTCGCAGCGGGGGTGACCGTGTGTGACCGGGGCTGACCGGGGGTGTCCGAGGGTTGTGTGCTCCAATTTGCAGCCACACCTGAGCCAAAAGGGGGCAACTTTTCAGGCTTTCACTTTTAGTCTCATTTTTATTTCAATTAACCATACAATTGCCCGGGCAGTGCACCGGCATGGAGCACACGCACACAAAGGATGCTGGAGGAGCAGGACCAAGTAGGCTGGCTGCCTGGCTGCCTGGCTGCCTGCCTGACTGCCACATCATTTCAAATGAAAAGTTTCCATCAACAGCAGGGCCACAGTTTGCTGCAGTTACTCCATCATTCATTTGGCTGACGAGTGAGCCACTAACCTACTTCCTTCCACACACAAAAGCCGCAGCAGATGCGGCACCTACCAGCTACCAGCTACTGGCACTGCCACTGCCACTGATGCTGCTGTGTTGTGGTTATTGTCGTTGCAGCTCATGCTGCCGGCATGCCACTGCCACGCCCACACAATAGCAGGCAGGCAGGCAGGCAGGCAGGCGGTAGGCTTGATGCTGGAGGCTGGCGTCTGTTCAAATGACGTTGGCGTTGATGAGTGAAAATGGGAAAATTACAAAAAAGGAGAAGCAGGAGGAGGAGAAAGAGGAGGAGGTATAACAAATGATGAGATTTATTTTGCAGCTAGCGGAACGTGCGCGTCTCTTGTCTCCACACCCATCTCTGTCTCTGTCTCTATCTCTAGCTCTTTCTCTAAGCGATCGATGCTTGCCTGCATAAATCAAAAGTTCCATTTTGCAGATTTCAGCACAAAGGAACACCACAGGCACCAGAGGCTCCAGAGGCACAAGCAAACAAAGAGGCAGAGGGGCAGAGAAAGATACAGAGACAGAGAGAACGAGAGAAAATGGAAAAGGGCTTCTTGCCAAACTAAAATGCCACATGGGCAAATATTTCACTTGTGCTTTCGAGCGGCGCATTGAAAAGCGAAAATATTGTGACAATACAAGCGGCAACAACCACAGCAGCAACTGCCAGAAGCAACAACAACTGGCAGTACGGCCACTGCAACAGCAGCCTCAAGTGGAAGTGCTCGGTCTAGCACTCGACTGAAGTGCATAACAACGTGGAAATATTGTAAAAGCAAACTACAAGCGAAGGAACAGGCAAAGGCACAAGCAGAGGTAGAGGCACGGAGGCATAGAGACAGATACGGATAGAGATACAGATACAGAGACAGCATCTGCTTGAACATGTCCTGGGAGGCCACAAAGTGGGCAAAAAAAGAGCATGTGGAAATAGGAGCAGGAGCAGGGAGCAGGGAGCAGGGAGCAGCAAAGAAGTAGCATGATGCCACATGCAAAGCATCTATTGATTTTCATCCCCTGAGAATGCTTTGACTTTCTTTCGGTGGCGTATGAGTAATACCCGTGCGTATACTTGATTTATTCGACTTACAAAAGCCATCACATAATCGGCATTAGAGGGGAAATGTGTTGCTCTCGAGCTCTCGACCTCCGTTTTAGCTGTGAGGGCAATACATCTCGAGATTTCCATAAAACTTTTCAACTTAAAGGAAAGGCTCTCCGGCCAGGAAATGGCTCTTAAATTTCAAGCACAGCCACACAGCAAGAAGACTATCGATCAAAGTGGGGAGTGGGGTGGACTGTGGCTCAAGTGCCAGCCCCCGCCAGGAACCGCCAGCCAACGACGTTGATATTCAATAAATTCTGGCCCGAGCCGGACTAGGGAAAATGGCCAATTACGAGGCAAAACGAGTTAAGAATTGTGCCAGCAGAGAGATGGCCAATACAGGGGCTCTCTCTCGCTCTCCCCCTTTTCCCCCTCTCTCCTTCTTGTGCCCCTTCTTGCTATCTCTTTGGGAATGAATGGCCATAGCCTCCTGCACTTAACATGAATGGCCATTTTTCCAATCAATTACGTAAAGGCAAGAGGAAGGGGAGGGTCTGGGGGTGGGGTTTTGAAGTAGAATAAGTAGAAGACGTGCAAAGAAAATAAATAAGGGAGGGGAATGCCTTTGCTTCGGCCCGGCATTGGGGGTCGTTAGTGATGGCAGGAGGAGCCTTGAGCTAACGATAATTACTTGAATTTTTAAGCAACTTTGCGGTTCTCCTGTTAGCAATTACATTTGACATTGACATTGAGGCAATTAGAGCAGCAAATATGTATATGTATATATAATATTTTAAATACATATAGTATATCGTGATATACTTACAGACTGCCCGTTGTCATTGGGAGCTACTTCAAGATTGAATCCCCAACTGGATCGACATCATCCGCAGCAGCAGCAGCAGCCACAGCAGCAGCCACAGCCACAGCTTTGGGCAGCCAGCGTTGCCTGAATACGCCCCCAACCACGCCCAGCAGCCCACTGAGAGAGGCGCCCCAGAGCCCCTCGGACGGCCACATCTCCTCGCTGAGCTCCCATTCCGGCTCGGGATGCAGTGATATCCTATTGGGTAAGCCACAACCCCATTCTCGAAGCGAATCTGTTATTTATAGTTGCCCACGAACCAGATCATGACCCAGGAACAAAGAAATGCAAACGAATTGTAGCATTTTATTGAGGTTGCTGACATTCAACCGAACAATGCCTTTCCCTTATCCCTTCTCCCTCCCCTTCTACTTCTCCTTGTCTTGCGCCTCCGCCGCCGCCGCCGCCTACTATGCCAGGGGCAGAGCTGCAGTTGGTTTGGTTTACTTTACATGCCACAAACACGCGCATAGAGTCGCAAAGTGTTGGGCAGAAATGCCAGGCTGCCACAATTTGTGGCAGTTGGGCTGCTCTGACGTTTATAGGGCTACCTCTTCGCATTCCGCATTCTGCATTCTCTATTCATTTCCTGGCATTCCGCTCGTAATACTCAAAGGGAGGGAGGGGTTAGAGTTTGACTTCCAGTAGCACTTAAATCTCAACCTTATTTGAGCTGTTTGGGGCTTGGAACATTTCCACCCATTGAATCCATTGAAACCATTGAAACCATTGAATCCAGTGCCATTTCAAGTGATAATTTCTAACGCTCACTCCGCCAGTTTGTTTACCAGTCCAGTGCTATCAGAATCAGTCGTCGGGCCTCGGCAACTGGCCGCAAATGTTGCCAGCAGAAGGAAAAATGTGCAAAGTAAACAGAAATCACATTCAAGAGTATCTATAATCTTAGAGACTACACTGACGAAAATTTACATTGTTCAATGTGAAAACCACTTCTTGTTTTTAGCCATCTATGGGGTATTCAAATTTTAATTTAATTTTTGTAAACATGTACATATCTACAGTATAACATAAATACATAGGTATGTACATATGTACTTAATTTTTTACTTTCGATTAATACTTATTAATCACCCCTTTTGTCGTGTGTCTATCGCGTGTGCCTCCTGGAAGATCATCCTTCGGTGAAGGTACAAATTCATGGCCAAAATAAGATATGATATGATATGGGAGCATAAGCCTTTGCAGGTTTTTCTTTGCGTGTAGCGCGGTGGCATAATAATAAGCAAATAAATAAAACTAAAGCTAAACGCATTTTGCGCCTCTTTGTTGCTCCCCGCGCAATGGTGATGTTTGTGTGGTTGCTGTTTCTGTTGTTGTTGCTCAGATGTTGCCCATGACGTTGCCTAGAAGTCATTGAACTTAGGAGCAGCAGCCGCCCGCCGCCGACGAGAGCCGCCAACAATAGCAAAATAAATAAAGCGCGAAAACGCGAGCAGAGAGCCAGAGTAGCAGGGAAGCAGAGAAGCGAAAGGCAGGAGGAAGAAGTCTGCCAGAGAAAAGTGGAAGCACCAGCAAGCACCTCTCTTCGCCCAGAGAGTACTGATGATAAGTGAAATGCACTTTCTTGACGAAAACTTCATTGAAATTTGCACTTGAAGAAAGCCCGAAGTGGTTTTGAATCTGTGTGATTTTTCGCTCGTGGATCTTCAAAGAATGAAAATGGAAATGCCGTTCGTAAATAGAGTTTTTAAGCAAAAAGAGTTCTTAAAGGTTTTACTATCAATTGATAATTTAAAACAAAAACAAAAACCACACGAACCAAAAAAATTGTTGGGGAAATTCTTGAGGAAAACTAAGAATACTAATACTCTTTAATAAAGTACCTTGGCCTGGGCCCAAGGCACGTAGAATGAGAGGGGGGAGACCGCCTGCCCCTTGCCACCCATCGCCACCCCAGCAAACAACTCTCACTCGAAGCATACACACACACGCACACTCAGACGCACACTCACTCACTCACACACTTATGCACAGTCGATTACACAATCTTCGCGAGCGGCATTTTCATTTTTCTCTTCCTGGTTCGTCGTCATCGCCATCGCCATCGCCGCGCTCTGCTCTGGACAGCCGCCGAGGCAGCACCAACAGCAGCAGCAGCAGTTGTGTGTGTGTGTGTGTGTGTGTGTGTGTGTGCGGGGAGATCAGGTTTTATCAGGCAACGCAATCGAACATATTACGTTGGGGCGTGCAACGGGTTGGTGGTGCAACGGCGGGGGTGCTGTTGCGTGCTGGTTCGATTGGTCTTCGTCTTCGTCTTCGTCGTCGAGTCGTTTCGCTTTCGCGGAGGATCGTTGACGACTTCGTTGGGTTTCGTTCACGAAGTTGCCGTTTTCTTGTTATTTACAGTTTCTGGTGGCTTTCGCTGCCCGTTGGAAAAATTGCCAACTGCAGTTGCAGTTGCAGTTGCAGTCGACGCTGGCGTTAACGTTGGCGTCGCTGGTGGCTTTGCTGCCGTTGCTGATCATTGACTTTCGTTGGTTCCCTTTTGGGCCAAGCATTCGTCAAGCAGATGGAAGGGAAGGGCTGGGCTGGGCTGCGCTGGAGAGGGACGCGGTGGGGCAGGAACAACGGGGGAAAAGTGGGCAAATATTTTCTTTAATTGAGATTTTCTTTGGTAAAAGGTTGGCCCTAATTTAAATTCGATTCGATTTGATCTTCAAATATGCAGTTTTCTGGTGCCTTGGGCCTTCATGGGAGGTCAAGGGGAGGGGGAGGAAAAATGAAGGGGAAATCTATTTATTTCATTAGGGTTTTCTTTGCTTTTATTGAAGTTCTATTTCATTTGATCTTCAAATAGTTTGTCTTGTGCCAAAAACTTGTTTGCCACTTTCCACTGCAACATTTTTCACTTCCGCATTGTAAAACTCTCCCACTCAGAGAGAGAGATCATCTCTCTCTCGCTCTCTTTGGCTGTGACTCTCTCCCAAAGCAGAAGAAGGTTCTTTGACTCCCGCCCCATGGAGGCGCCCCCACTTCATCTTTCTATCTTGCACACACACACACTGGCAACTTCTATTGCTCTCTCTTTCGATGATAGTGCAAACTATGTAACGGTTCTCTTTCTCTCTCTCTTTCGTGCTGCGCTTGTGTATGTGAAATTGATCTTGAGTGTGTGTGTGTGTGTGTGTGCGGATGCACTTGGAAGCCAGCGTTGGCGTCGCTGCCAGCTTTGGCAGCGCAATAGAAATTGAAAATAGCAACCAGGAAAAGAGTTGCAAATGGAAAAGTGCAACAACAGGAGGCAGCGGCAGAAGAAGAAGAAGAAGAAGCAGCAGCAGCGAGAGTGGCAATGCCTGATGTTCTTTGTGGTAGTGGTACTGGTAGTGGTGCTGCTGCTTTTGCTGGTGGAGATTAGAAAGATAGGAAAACCGAGGGAAGCACTCCGGCTCCAGCTTGCAGCACATTGACTCTTCCTCCCCCTCCTGCTGCTTCTGCTCCCTGCTCCCTGCTCCCGCTCCCGCTACTCGCCCAGAGATGCCGCCTCGTGCTGGAAGCAACGGCGCTACGTAGTTTTCCCCCCACTCCATTGGGCCACACAGAGGCCCCAGCCACATTCTATTTTCCTACTCTTTCCACACACACACACACACAGACACACACACAAATGCACACACATGGTGATTCTTGTTCTTTCGCGTCGTCGTCGTCGTCGTCGTCTTGGACTTGGTCTTGGTCGCTGCCACTGCCACTGCCGCCGTCATAGCACAGAGCGTTGTCGTAGGTTCTGTTCTGCAGCTCGCCTTGGATTTCTGTTGCGCATTTGGAGCGCTGCGAAGTTGGCGCTTGGATCTCGTCGAGGCGAGAGTTTCGTGCGCGCGATCGCAGCAATTTCAGAATTTCTCCACCGCGGATCGGAAAACCCAACCCTCAATATCGTATATCGATCGAGCCCCGATCTTGAACATAGGACTCTTAAAGCCCAGTTCTATGCGGATCTGGAGGAATATCCAAGCAACACGGAAGTGAATTGAATTGAATTTTTTTTTAATCTAATATAATCCATGTTACAATTACAATTATTATGAAAGCAAAGTGCAAGTGAAAACGGAGAAAGGGGGAGAGGAATATGGGAGAGAGAAAGAAAACAGAGTAGACAATGATCGGCATCAATAATCGGAAAGACAGTGAAAGCTCTCTTGCCGGACGGACAACTCGCTTTCCGGATGCGAAATCGATGAAGTTCTTTAGAGATCAGCGCTCTTCCACCGGCAGGAGAGGCTTCACTGTAAATATTAGATCGGAAAACCCTTCGTTACCCCAAAGAAGAGCAAACCCTTCAAGAATGTCTAGAATTTTGTATCCTTTTCAGATCTAGAATAAGTTTAGAAGTAGCGTCGAAGATTTACGTTTTGGGATACCTTCTCCTACCAAAAAAAAGTTACCAAAAATACCCAAATCTCCCTTCAAATAGTTTGGAAACCGATAAGAAAGAGATCCCTGAACCGAACGAACCTTAAGTAGAACCTCGAGATCGTGACTTTCTCGATAAAGTGCCAAAGGACTGGGGAATGTGATGTGGATTTGAGTTGCTGCCAAAAAACATGCTGAAAAGTGCCCGCAATTCCCGCAGCAAGATGATGATGATGCAGATGATGGATGGCCATGTAACCGCAGCGATCCGAGCAACATGGATGTATACCAAATAGAGCTGGAGGCACAGGCACAAATCCGCTCCAATCTTTTGGTTGAAACTTGCGTGAAGCAGCCGCAGCAGCCGCCGCAGCAGCAGCAGCAGCAGCAGCAGCTCCATTCGCTGAAGGAGAAGGAGGATAGCCACATCAAGGACTTTGACGGCAACGAGCAAGACCAGGACGAGGAAGAGGCGGAGGACGAGGAGGAGGAAGAGGAGGAGGACGACGACAACGAAGAAGAGGACGAGGACGGGGACGGGGACGGTGACGAAGAAAGGCCACTTCTCCCAGAAGTCAATTTCGATGCGAATTCCGATTTCAATTTGCATTTCTTTGACACGCCCGAGGACTCCTCGACACAAGGAGCCTACAGCGAGGCCGCCAGCCTAGACTCCGACCAGGACCAGGCGGAGGATCCACAGCACCAGCAGCGGGAGCTGCAGGATTGCCTAAGTGCCATCGAGGCGGCGGATGCGGATCCCCTGCAGCTGCTGCAGTGCGACGACTACTACGGCCCGTCCGCTGCAAGCGAGGGCGTGGCAACGCCAGTCATAGCCACATCTGCCACTGCACCGCATCCCCATCCACACCACTCGCATAATCAGAACCCACATCAGAATCCGCACCAGAACGCAAACGCAAACGCCAATCCGAACACACACCATCACCAGCAGCAGCTGAACTGCACCTTGAGCAATGGTAGAGGTGCTCTGTACACCATCAGCAGTGTGCATCAGTTCGGTCCGGCCAGCAGCAGCGGCCACCACCATAGCAGCTCCCCCTCCTCGAGTGGGGCCCACGCCTCGCCGGACAGCGGCTGCTCTTCGGCCAGCTCCACCTCCTCCCACGCCGTCTCCTCATCATCGTCGTCAAGCTGCTCGGAGCATTTTGGTCGCTCATCCGCTGTCGTTGCCGCAGCAGCAGCAGCAGCAGCAGCCGCAGCAGCAGCAGCCGCAGTCGCATCTACATCCACGTCGCTTGTCAATGTCAGCGGGAACGCTCATACATCCTCGTCAGCGGTCAGCTCCAGCTCTAGCTCCAGCAACAACTGCAGTCCCAGCTCCATCTCCATCGCCCTCTCAGCCGCCGGTTCCAGCTGCAACTCCAGCGCAGCAACATCTTCATCTGTTGCGCATCTAAACAAAGGCCATTCAGGTATGTCCATCTCCATCTCCAGCTCCATCTCCAACTGCAACTGCAACTGCAACTCCTGCTCCAAGATCGCTGCTCGACTCTTCCGCGTTTGGTGTTTGGGGTCCGGGGTCCGGGGTCCGGGGTCCGAGGTCCCATTGTTGTCGCAGTTGAAAATTATGTTCAATAAATTTGCATTCATTGCATAACACGGCGGCAGCAACAGCAATAGCAATAGCAATAGCAACTGCAACTGCAACAACTGCCGTACCATAGCCAATTGAAAGTTGCTTGCAACTGCTCGTTGCAACCGCCTTCTTCAGCCTCCCAGCTGCCGCCTGTCGACTTTTCTTCTTCTTTTGAGGAAACTATTAAAGCGCAGCATGAAAAATGTGAAAATGAATATAATTCCCTGTTATTGGCCAATGTTGTTGAGGCCAGTTGTTGCCGTTGCAGCAGTTGTGTTTCTGCCCCATGTTGCAGTTGTGCCTCTTCTCCTTTCGGTGCCAAGAAAATTGCTTTCCACGCTGCAGTCTGTCAATGCTGTGTGCCACTCGCAATTGAAAGCCATGCAAAAACTGATTTCATTTTCATAAATCGCTTGGAATGGCCCGCTCCTCGAAGGCTGCTCCTATGATATGCGGGAATTTGGGATGGGGTTTAGCTGGAAGCATCAAGAATCAAGCATCAAGGAAATTGCCATGGAATCGGGCCAGTCGACTGAAATATGCAGCAAAAAATTGAGTCTAGAAACCATTTCAGGCAATGGACAGGGCTGCTACCTGAGGTAATGTCATAAAAACCATAAGCACTCGAGCGGCGTCTTGGCTGGACTTGCTAATTGCCTCACGGCCAGGCCTGTCTGGCAAGGATTCATGGGGCACGGATGCATGGATGCATGGGGCAACATTTAATTGCAGCAATTAGTGCGGGCAGTTCCAGGCAAATGCAAATTGCCAGCAAATTAAATCTAGGGGAAACCAAACCAAATACGATTTTATCAGGGGAAAAGGAAAACTCAGCTGCCACAAACTCCAATTGATATTCGTATCTGCCCATCCCATCCCATCCCAACCCAGCCCAACCCCACCCCCACTGCCCCTCTGCCCGTCTACCCGTTCCCCCTTCTCATTCAATCAGTTGTCTGCAGATAAATCCAAGAAAATGGAGGAAAAATCAAGCGAAAATATGAAGTCTTTGTCGTCTATCGTCTGCCTCTGCCTCTGACTCTGTCTCTGTCTCTACTTCAGACCGTTGTCTGACAACGCGGAAATGCCAAGCAGCAGTCCATGCCACATTCGCCCCGCTCTTGCGGCGTGCCCCTCCCTTGGCCACTCGAACAATGGCGTTTGAAATTGTCAACTTACAAAAGCGACCAAATGATTTGCATTTGAACGCGGCGCGAAAATGAAAACCAGGCACTTGAATTTCCTTTTGGTTTTTCATTCCTGCCCAGGCCCAGGCCCAGGCCCAGACCCAGGCCGACGACATTTTCCAGACATCGTTGTTGCTGTTGCTGTTTCTGTTGCTGTCCAATGGTGAAAATTCAATTTGCAATTGCACAAGCGCGTAACGCGCAGTGTTTCCCGTCCTCGTCCCCATCCCCCTCTACATTTCCCTCTACGCGACTCCCTCTTGCCGGCCCATCATCTGTAGTGGAGCTGCCTCTTTCTGGCGCCCCTTCCCCCTGCTTGTCGGCGCGTGCAAGTTGCACATTAATTTCATTTTGTTTCGCATTTTTCGAGGTGTGGCAACAACTGCAGTTCAAACTCCGCGCTTAGTTCATTTGCCTCTTCCTCCTGCATTAGAAAATTCAAATCAAAAAATAAATAAAAGAAAGAAATCAAAGAAAACGAGAAACAAAGTCAAATTGAATTGAATTCAAAATGAAAATGCCAAGAAGCATGGTTGTCTGGCTCCTCTGGCTCCAATTTCCAGCCTTTTTCTGCCTCGTTTTTGTTTTTGTTTTTGTTTTTATTTTTCTTTCTTCCATTTGCCATTTGCAATGCAAATTTGGTTTCGGCTCTCGCAGGGAAAATTGTGCGGCTGCAGTTTTTCCTCGTGACTGGCAACAGCAGCAGCAACAAGAGGCAACAACAGCAAACTGTTGTAGGCGGTGGCGTATACGTGATATTTTGGCATTTCTTCTTATCGCACATCGCCCTGAAGTTGAATGCCCCTTGAAGCTGTTGCATTTGACTTTGATTGCTAGCCCCCGTCCGTGCCTAAGTTTCCCGGGGCTATTGCGCCTAATGGTGGATGATTAAGAGATGGAGTTGACGGTAAAACCGATTTGGGTTATCGTTGGAGGTTCACTAATTGAAAGTGCTCACTCTCCTTAAGGTTTCCACACTGTAATTTGACTGAAATTGATGGAGGTTATCCTAAGATAGGATAGAGCTACTCTATTCTACTTTCCTTATTGGCTTTCCTCCCCAACGATGGCTGTCTGTGGAAATGTCCTTCCAATTGGTTCCCAATGAGGAAATACACAGAGCACATCAGATTTAGAGCGTGTGATATCGTGGTGACAGCAAACTCATTTGGCAAATTGAAATGGCTGTGTGACACATGTGACGTATGGGCAATGTGTGGCATGGCAACCAGGTTGCATAATCGACTTGCCATACAACTTTCGTGCGGAGGAAATTTAAACGAAATCCATGAATTTTTCCTTACAGAGCCACAGCAGCAGCAGCAGCAGCAGCCACAGACAACTCAGCAACAGCAGCAACACTCACATCAGCAGCAACAGTTGCAACAGCACCCCCAGCAGCAGCAGCAGCAGCAGCAGCAACAGCAACAGCAATCTTTTGGCTTAGCCGACTCCAGCAACAACAACAACAACAACAGCAGCAGCAACAACAGTGGCAACAGCAGCAGCAACAGCAACAACGGTGTCTCCTCGAAGTCGTTTGTGCCCTGTAAAGTGTGCGGTGACAAGGCCTCCGGCTACCACTATGGTGTAACCTCCTGCGAGGGTTGCAAGGTGAGTTGTGGCCCACTGCTCTCCACGTCGATCACTAAACACTCTTCCCTTGCAGGGCTTCTTTCGTCGCAGCATCCAGAAGCAGATCGAGTACCGCTGCCTAAGGGACGGCAAGTGCCTGGTCATCCGCCTGAACCGCAATCGCTGCCAATATTGCCGCTTCAAGAAATGCCTCTCCGCTGGCATGAGCCGCGACTGTGAGTACAACCTCTGCCTCTACCTCTACAGTTACCAAATGTTGCACAAACAAAGTGAAGGGGAGGCTGCACCTAGTTTCGTTTTGGCTGCTTGATAACTTTATTAGCTGCGAAATCGCTGCAAAATTTCCGCAGAAAGATCGAAGATTATGTCAGTTAGTTGTCCGGGCCATTGTCAATGGACTTCGATTGCTTTATTCGCACTAATTGAATCAATGAATACACCCATACCCGTACGAATGGGCTGATGCTGATGCTTCCTGAAACGTTGTAAAACCTTTACTTAAGATAATTTTCCCATTACAAAATCTGCGGCCTGCCCCTCCCCCAAACGGGTTTACTATCTGGCAAACCTTTTACCAAAGCATCCATAAACCACTCCAGGCTTAGGCTTGCAACCACTTGAGGCAGGCGGAAACGACAGCCTTACTTGAAGCCACAATCCACCCACGGGCCAAGAGCGAAATTAGTTTTTATGAGTTTTCGCGGCAGCAACCACTCTGGGGAACCCTTTCGGGCCCGTTGTTGCTGCTTTCGAATGCAATTTATTTGATGTTGCACAATTAATTGTCCAAAAAGATCGGAAACAAGAGAGCGGCACATAAACTCCAGCCACCAGGCAACAAGGCAACATCGTGGCTACACACAAAAGACCTCTGTGGGTGTGTGTGTGTGTGTGTGTGTATGCAAGTGTGTGGCAGGCAAAAAATATTTGTTGCTGTCACTGTCATTGTTGCTGTCGCTGTTGCTGTCGCTGCACGCGAGCAACATTTATTAGTCGTGTCTATTGCCAGCAACATTTGTTGCAATTTTTTATGGCTTTTGTCTCGCTGCAGCGGCGTGCCTGGTGTTGGGCAAACATTTCCTTAATTTTCCCCCATGCTGCTGCCACAGCGCCCACGCAGCCAATCCTCTCGACCCACACGCTCCACGTTCCACTCTCCTCTTTCCCCTGACTCTGCCCTCTTCACTCCCCCCAGATTGTACGACAAAAGGCTTTTGGTGTTTGCTTTTACCACTTTTAATGATTTTTCCAGTGCAGAGATTTTCTTTCTGTGGTGCTGAGCGAAAGAATGCTCTATCGCAAACGTATTCGGCGACATTTAGTTCATGTAAATCTTCATAGCATCTATCTTTATCTATGTCGGAGACCAATCTTTTAGCATTTAGCATTTACTATGCTTCTTTCGCTTTTCTTTACATAATGCAAATTGGCGACTTATCAGGCGTATCCTTCGCTCGTAGAGCAGAGTATTGCAGCTTCGTTCCCATGACCCACGAGTTTTCTTCTCCTCTTTCCACCCCCAGCATTTTCTGGCTCTTCCTCCATGGGCTTTGGCTTTGGCTTTGGCTTTTACTTGGAGACTTTTACTTTGCCTCAATGCATACGGAAAGTTCAATAATTTAGTTAAATTGCTTTTGTGGCAAGTTTCGGTTCGGGCCTAGCATGGATGTGGCTGGTGGCTCCTGCTGCAGTTGCAGCTGCAGCAGATGTTGCAGCTGCTGCTGTTAGTGGGCGTTGCATGGTTTCTCCGCACGAGGCGCCTCTTGATTTTCGCTTGCTCGGTTTAATTAGACTTTTGTCGAGTCAAATGGTATGGGGGTTATTATGGTTTATGGCAAAGCAGCAATTGCCATTTTCTGATTGCCGATTGCCGATTGTCGATGGCCTATTGCTGCTGTTGCCTATTGCCTGCTCTGCTGCAGTCTCTGTTGCTGCCACTCCGTGAGAGATTTTCCAATTAAGTTCCCTCAGAGATCGACTAAAATCGCTGAAAGCCAAATCCGGACTTGAATTCAGTGAAATTCCCAGTGCAAATGTTAGAGTTGTAGGATTTTAATGGGTCATGCCACTCTGCTTTGGCTTCCCCATGCCCCATGCCCCTTGCCACGGGCCCTGGCCCCGGCCCCCACAACAAATGTAATTATGTTGCCGCCGTGTTGCAACTGATGTGCTGTGCTGTGCTGTGCTGTGTGCTTCTGTTTGTATATCTGAGTGGGCGTGGCCTGGCTTTTATTTAATTTGCAAAGCTTTTGTTGGCAGCGGCAACAAAGTGCAATAAAAAAGGAAAATAACGCGACGCTTGCCAAGCAGAAATTGCATTTCGGATGTTGCAGCAGCGTCAGAGGCACAGGCAGAAGCAGAAGCAGAGGCAGAGGCAGCAGCAACACTTTGCATGGCTCTGCAGGAATTTGGGTCAAACATAAAACACACACAAGCACACACACACAGAGCTACAGGGGGTCTTCATGCCGGCATGCGGCATTTTGTGTCAGCATCAGCATCAGCGTGTGTTTGCTCTGAAAAAGAGCTTAAACCCTGCCTCTGCTCCCAGGACTTGGCCACTGCTATTAATCAAATTTATGTGCGAATATCCAGCAAAAGTTGGCTAATTGAAAAGCCTGCCTCTCTTTCTCCTTCTCTTACTCAGTCTCATTCTCTTGTGGGGCACGAAGCCGCCGTCAATCAAATTTGCCACAAATCAAATTAGAATTAAAGAGCGGGGCAGGACGGACCGAAGTTTTTGGACAATATTCTGCTGTCTCTGCTGTCTGTCTGGGAATGGGCACAGAGCTGTTGCTGTTGCTGTGGCTGTTGCTGCTTGGGGGCAACATCAGCAACAGACAGCAAACATTCAGTTAGAGCAACGCCAAGGCGACACAGTAACACAGAATCAAACAGCGTTCGTTGGCTGCTCTCGACTCAATTGTAGTCAATTTGAAAGCCAACTATCAAATGTCAGCGCCAGAGATTCGTTTCGTTTCGTTTCGTTGCCACGACTCTTCTAGACGCCCAAAAATCGAGTGCAAAATTAAACTGTTGCTCTTGTGGCAGTTGTAGCTGTTGCTGCTGCTGCGCCTGCGCAGTGACAAGAACAAAGACAAAGAGCAAGACTGGCTTATAATTGTAGCGTAAACTGGGTCAGGCTGCCAGACCAGGCCGGTCCGGGCCGGGCCGGGCCAGGCCAATCCAAATCCACCATTCGGCCAGGCCCAGAGTCAGAGTCAGAGTCAGAGCCAGAGCCAGAGACCCCCTTGTGGCCGTTCGTGGTTCGTTCTGGTGGCTTGAATCGCTTTGAATTCGCTTTTGGCCCATTGTTGCCGCTCGCTCTGTTCTGATTTTCGTGTGCCGTGCCTTCTGACAATTGTCTTTTGTCTTGTTGTTTCGCTGGTTACATTAAAGTGTAGCCCCAGCCACAGTCACAGCTTTATTTGGCCATTGTTTCGGCCGAGATTTTATTATTTGGCAATAGAAATATGACTGAGAACGAGGAGGAACCAACATTCTGGGCAGTCTTTGGCAGGGCTTCGATTCGATTATGGTCTATCAAAAGGGCATAAACGCTGGGAATGGCTCGGGTTGGGTGTCCCCAGTATCCACATCTTCATCGGTATCGGAGTATCTTCAGCTCCTCTCTACAGTTGCATAATTCGATGGCATTCAACCGTTTACGAGTATTTATATAGAGTTCAGCAAACCTTAGCAGGTCCCCAGGCACTTGCTTTCCGCTTCCTTTGAATTTCCCCCAAGGGGCCTTTCACTTTCAGTTGTCGTTCGATGTCGTGTCGCTGCTTCCGCTCCCCTGCTCAGCCCCCTGCTCAGCCCCCTGCCAGTCTGCCGGGCTGCCTCCAGAACAGAGTCCAATGCTCGCAAAGTTGATGTGTTTTTTCGCGCAACAAAATGCGGCGCCCAACAACAAACACAAACACAAAAACACAAACGCCATAAACACCCGAACGATATATATAAATAAAATATGGTCAACAAATTTGTTGCCGCTGAAATATCATTTAATTTTTTAATTATGCATTTAAGTTGCTGTTATGGCCGCTTCGCTCAACTCGATTGATAAACATTTTGGCAGCTCAAATTTATTCACCATTTCTGCTCGATGCATAAACCGAAAAAAGTTGAGTAAACATTTCGCTGAACCGATCGTTAAACAATTTAATCCCGAGAACAAAAGCACCAGCACCAGCAGCAGCAGCAGCAGCAGCACGCACCTGTTGCAGGTGAATGAATGCATCAGAAGATGACTCAATTCCAGCACCAAGGCGCTGTGGTGCTGAGGTGCTGAGGTGCTGTGGCCCCTGGCGTTGCAACATGTTCCCTCTGACTAATTGCGATTGTTAATTTATGCAACAGGCTTTGTTGCGGTTCATTGTTCTGTCCGCCAGTGCCCCCAGTGCCACCAGTGCCAGTTGCCGCCGTGTTACGCATGCGTGCCCGCCGCAACATCGGTGGCAATCTGTCCTCCAATTACAACGAGCCGCGTTTGTCCGCGCCGCCTAGATGTTGCACCCGATTGTGGCCACAGTTGTCTCTCTATTTATAGTTTAATTAACACCTTGTCGCATGGATACAAGCACACATGCCCAAAGATAAATCATTTGTCACTTCACTGCTGGCCGACGAGGTGGCTGCTACGCGCAGAATTGTGGCAAGTACAAATGAAGTGGAAATCCCCGAAAGTTCATCTTCCCGAGCTCAAGGAACTTTGTGACCCTTGCCCAAAATCTCGGCATCTCATTCACAGTTTGTCGTGCAATTTGCACATTTCTGCATCACTTGCAACTTTGCCCAAAGGGAAATTTACATATGTACACTCCTGTGAGTCACTCGCATTTGTTGGGTAACTTTCCACGCGTACGCGTACTCGCAATTTCGGCTTCTATTTGCCCGCAATGAGTGGTGTTCCGTTCTACTCACATCTCATGCACACAGGTGAACAAATTGCCAAATATTGCACAAAAATTGTCATTGTTTGATGGATGAGTAACCTTGACACTGGATTTCAGGGGAATTCTACTTAAGTGTATTCTAACAGAGAAGCTGTTAGAGGGAAATACCACTCAATGATAACCAAATAATCCGGTATGTTCCTTCAATAAATGAATATAGAATAGAGATTCTTTTAGAGGATTTTCAGGGACTAAAACCAAACCAATTATTTTAATTAGAAGGTCTCCTGATTACTCACTATAACACATACGATTTC